TGGGATCTAATAAATACTTTGAATGCAGATTCCCAGCGTCACTCTGCTAATTCTATAGGGATAACCTGAGGCTGGTAATTCAGCTTTCTTTAACCTGCCCCTGTCCACAAATTCTAGCAGTCTGTTACACATCAATAGCTTCTTGTATGATGTTGGGGGGTTTCCCCATTATCTGTTTATTTTACTTGAATATATACCCATCTATGTGTACATGCACATTTTGCCCCCTTAATCACACTTTGTCTACCACTAATTTGCATCTTTTTAATAAATGATTAATTACAATTCCCCCTTCAACTTTGAAAAACGTAAAAGACACCCAACCTCATATTAACACATACAATCTCTTGTATTTGTCTGAGTTATTAATTAGTCTGGGAAACAAATGCAAAGTTACTCTTGTGGCTTATACAATCAAGATGTGTTAGTTCTACTTAAAGAAACAGCTTTATCAAAACTGTCAGATAACTGCTAAAAGTAATTAAGTTCCTGCAATTGTTATTATAGTTGATAGGAAAAATATATGAGAAAGAATGGAGTTTTTTTTTTTTTAAGTAACTAGTGAAGTTGCAAAAAGGGGAGCAGAATATTAAACAAATGTGATTCTCCACCCCCGCCATCATGAGAAGAAAAATATACCAATCTGAAAATGGACAAGGTATGTGATGTGAAGACCTTGGGCATATATTAGACAACATCTTATTAGAATGACATATGGGATCAATAAAACATAATATAAATTTAACTTTGACAAAAAAGTTGTAAAATGCAGTACCAAGCTAAAATAGAATTAGATCTATTTTAGATCTAATTCCCTTCTCAAAAGTTAATTCTTTGACTCAAAAGTTTTCAATAACTATTGACCAGTCTCTAACTTTTCTTTTTCGGGGAAGGCTGTTGAGAAGATGATTGGACTGTAGCTGAGAATCTTGAAGGAAATATCATTCTAGACTTATTTGTCTGGTTCCTGACTGGGATAGGTTTAATTGTGGCACAGCTGGGACGGATATGGTGCATCTATCCTTGTGCTCTTTATCTCTCAATGGTTTTTGATGTCATGATATCCTGAGATGGATCTGAGAGTTTGGGATTGGGGCATTGTTTTATGGTGGTTCTCTTCCTTTCTCCAGGGCCAATTCCAATTGGTGTTGGTCGGACGGCGGAGAAATAGTTCTACAGGCCTCAGGGTTCTATTCTCTCTTTCTTCTTTATCAGCTTCCGTATGAAATTATTGAATGCAGTCATCTGCCAGTTTGGAGATTGATATCATATTTTGATGATATCCAATTATATTTCGACCCCCTAATTGGCCAAATAAGGCTGTTGAGATTCTGCCCAGTGCCTGGAGGCTGTATAGGTTTGATGGAGAGGAATCATCTCCAACTCAGTCCTACCAAGTCCTATCTCCCTATCAGTCCTACCAACCATCTCCCGCTCAGTCCTACCAAGACTGAGTGGTTCAGGCCACCCAGATCTGACGATATTCCATATCTGACCTTGGATGGGATTGCACTTCCTCATTCAAGGGTGATATGAAAACCGAGGGTCTTCTTGGATTCACAACTCCTGCTTAATTAGTAGAGAGCAGCTATGGCCAAGAAGGCCTTTGCCCAGCTTCACCCAATGTGCTAGTTGTGTTCTTTACCAGATTTTTTTGGGGGGGCTTCAGACATCATTCATCATGAGTCCGAAAGGAGAAGGGCGGTATAGAAGTTTGAATAATAAATAATAAATAAATAAATTCATGCCCTGATCATATCATAGCTTAATCATGCAATTTGCTCCACCGACCTTAAAGACCATTTAAAAACTTCAACAGGGTGCAGAATGCAGTGGTATTCAGCAATGATGGTTATACCTTGGTATATCTACGTTACACAAGCTGCACAGGTTGCCAGTTTGCTTTTGTAATTCAAGGTACTGCTTGTTACCCATAAATCCTTACACGACATAGGGGCTGATTATCTGAAGGACTGTCTGTCTCATGAAGTAACAAATCTGGCAGGGTTGGGTTCCTTTAAATAAACAATGTCATCTATCAGGACCCCAGAAATGCATTTTCTTTGCAGCAGCCCAGCCCTCTGGAATGAAGTTTCTCCACCCCAAGATTTGGAGAACTTCCTCTCTGCTGGTGTTATGAAGGACCTTGAAGATCTGGCTCCTTGGCCAAGCCTTGTGAAGTCCCATTTAGATTTTTTTTTTTTAATTTGATTTATATGCCGCCCTTCTCCGGAGACTCAGGGCGGCTTACAATGCGCTAAGCAATAGCCTTCATTCTTTTGTATATTTATACAAAGTCAGCTTATTGCCCCCACAAACTGGGTCCTCAATTTACCTACCTTAGAAAGGATGGAAGGCTGAGTCAACCTTGAGCCTTGGCGAGATTCGAACCTGCAGTAATTGCAGGCAGCTGGTCTTAATAACCAGCTTAATAACAGGGTGCCTTAGACCACGGTACTTCCAGTTTATACACTGCTCAAACAACTAAAGGGAACACAAAACTACTGTATGTAATGAACAAAGTATTTAATAAGGCTATTTCATTCATTCAGATCTCGGATGTCTTCCGCTTGTGTTCCCTTTATTTTTTTGAGCAGTGTATATATGGGTATATTTCCATATTTAAACCAATGTGATTTTTGGTAGGATTAAATTATATGAAACAGTTTTGTATACCTCCAACCCCCTTTTAAATGTTGACTGTATTTAACTCATTTTCTTTTGTATGATTTCTTGTTATTATTATTATTATTTTTGCCAACAGTAGAGAGCCCCTTTTGACAATGTAATCAATGTCACCAGTTTGGTCTAGAGCAGTGTTTCTCAACCTTGGCGCTGGCTGGGGGATTCTGGGAGTTGAAGTTCACCCATCTTCAAGCTTCCAAGGTTGAGAAACACTCAAGGCACAAGGCTAGAAAGCAAGAGACCATGAACTTCACTTTAGCCATGAAAGTCAGCTAGGGGACCTTGTGCTAGTCACTCTCAGCCCAACCCACTCACAGGATTATTGTTGTGGGCAAAATGGAAGGCAGGTGTCTTGGATATATTGTGTGTGTGTATCACCTTGAGTTATTTGTAAAAAAAAAAAAGCTGAGTTAAGCAGTTGCTAAGTGCTTACAATCTTACTTCAGCTTTCCTTTCCTTTCTAGACCTGCGATGGTTGTAAATATATATGTATGTATGTATGTATGTATGTATGTATGTATGTATGTATATACTGTGCCTTTGTTTTTAAAAACTAAACCCGGAAGAAATACTGTGTCAAATCAGTAGTGGACTGCACTATGCAGAAATAATTCAGTCCACTGGTCAAACACAGGCATTTTGTTTAAATCTGAAAGATAATATACTTTCACCTTTTACTATGTATCAGTAAATGATGTGTTTTATGCAACCATTAATGCTGGCATTTTACATTAGATCTGTGGATTTAACATGTAGAACATGTACAAACTGCTAGCACTCATAGCAAGAGTACTAAGACTTACATACTGCTTCGTAGTGCTTTATAGCTCTCTCTAAGAGGTTTCCAGAGCCAGCTTATTGCCCACAACAATCTGGGTCCTCATTTCACCAACCCCAAAAGGATGGAAGGCTCAGTCAGCTTTGAACCGGTTAGGATCAAACTCCTGGGGGGGGGGGGAGGGAGAGAAAAAGAAAAGAGGGATACACACACACACACACACACACACACACACGTCCACTAATTACAAATTAAAATCTGAATGCAATTCTATTCTGAAGGCGCAGATAAAAGTTCAAAATTAAAACCTAAATTGACTGAAATGCATAATTTCATAGTTCACATGAAGCCAGAAATGTTTTGAATAAAATTCCTACATTACTATGAAGCATTTTTATGTACAGCTATTATACACAGCAATCTGATAGCTAAAAAGGCTGAAATAGCAAATATTTTGTCTTCTCTTTAAGAGTCCAAAACCTATGCACCTCTAAAACAACGTTTTACTACTGAGCCAAGATAGCGCTATACGGTTTTTCTATAGATAGCTTTGCTAAGGAATATTTCATTCTTTTTGGATATGAAGAGCTTTGATAATTCTCATTTGAATAAAGCTCAACACTTAGTGTCAGCTTAAGTCTTTGTAATGGAATATATGAATGACCTCCTTGGGGAAAGAGGGGAAGAGATGCTGCCAAGGAGACAATCAGACAAGTGAGGCAGGAGCCCTCAATGGATTAAGAATTAGAGGAAGAAATTTAGCAAGCCCTTCTCTCATTTAATTGTTCAAGTAGTTAAAACGGTCGTGGAAAGTTATACTTTCAAATGTGCAAGATTCTGTTAATGCAGCCTTATAAGAAGATAGAATTAGTTCACCTAGTTGTGTTTACTGCCTGATTACCCACAAAGATAAACTCTATTGTAGTTAACATTCTGCTTAAAATACAGTCAGGATGATTTGACAAGTAGAAAAATCTAGCTAATTTAAACTATACAGGCTGCACACTCACTATATGTGACATTGTATGTCAATTTGAATATTAATTTATGATATTTTAAAAAGGAGAAACATGCCCTGCCCTGCTTAAATGTGATGGAATTCAAGCTTCTCATTTACCCTTGGAACTCCTATCAGAAATTCTTCAGCATCCCCTCCTCCACCTGCTCCAGGAGTCTTTCCCAGTTGCATAGAGCAGATTTGGTGGGTCAAGACCAGGGGCCTCCAAACTTGCCAACTTTAAAACTTTAACTCCCAGAATTCCTCAGCCAGCTGTTCAAGACAGTCACTCAGCTTTTTGTTGATAAAGCTAGTTCCTTCGGCAAAAGAACAATCCTGACGCAAGCCCAGCATTGTTGAAGTCCAATATGACTAAGCAAATTGCCAGTGTGATCATTTTAACGCTGCTTTCAAGTTTGGGAAATATAAATACGTGTGTAAAGTGTGCGGACGTGATTTGTAGCAACTTGTTTGGGGAAAGATAAAATGGTGTCAGAACTAATCCCTAAGCCAATTATTCAAAAAGAACAGACATTGTGATATATAGCAGGAGTACTTTAATTCAATTAATGTCATCTGCACTATTATTTTAAGAACAATTCCTCTGCAGTGAATATAATGAAAACAAATTTATGAAAGAACTAAGCAGTGGTTTGATGAATATTATTAAATACTGCTTTGCCCATTCCATAGCAATGGGCCAATATTGCTTCCATTTATATCGATATGGAACTACTATTTTAAATTCCTGATGTTTTTACCAAAATCAAGTTGAAATATTGAAAGAGACATATTTTCATTCTGAATACACTGACATTAAATAAGAATGTTTGTTAAAAAATACTTAAAAGTACAGAAAATACAAGAAACATTTTGTTCACTTTTTCCCAGGAGAGCTCCCATACTATTTCCTATTGTGTAATTTGATTATGTCTGTTAATTTTAGGAATTTAATATCCATGGAATTATGGATGAAAAAATTTCCAACATGCTGCTTCTACAAAAATGGAATACGTTTAAGTCCAAATCAGCTTTTCCAAAATGATCTTGTAGAGAAGGGATATATATTTTCTATCTGTTTTTGTGCTCTTTTCTTTTGATTGTGTTTGCTAGTTGCCAAATGATTTAATTCTAAGATTCAAGTTAGCATTCCTCTCTCTGCAGGTTTAGAATGTAGTAGATGCTCTGAATCTACTAAGAGAGAAATAGCTGAAACTTGCAAATCACAAAGATGTTAAGTTACCTTTAATAAATGAGTAGCAATCTATTTTACATGCCACTGCTTATAGAGGCAAATCATGGATGTATATTGGCTAAGATAATGTCTGACTTTTATTAAGCATCTCTTTGATAGATCAGAAAAGATAAGCTTTTGTGAATATGTTCTCGCAATGCTAGGATTGCAACTGGCAACAAGAAGATTTGCTGAGTACAACATTCATTAAATTTACAAGAAAGCATACTGTACATTTTAAAAACTTACCTGCATATTAAGTATCCGAAACAAGTATTTTACAGGAGTAAAACTGTGCTTGAAAACAACTGTAGTATTTCTCCTATTAGAATAACTATTGCGTAAATATAGCAAGGTTTTATTTCATGGTTTCACACAAAATTGACTTCATGGGACACAAGAGTGCTCAGCAATGCTGTCATAAGAGTATATAACCTCATAACCAATTCTCAAAGCCATCATTTTACTTTTACACAAGTATTATTTAGTAGTGTAGTGCTTTTATGATATTGTCAAACTTTACCAATGAAAAAAATACATCTTCTAAACCACTCCTGCTTTATAGCTAGCAAGGTTGATTTTGGTAGCTGTCTCCTAGTCATCTCCTGGGTCTCTATCACCTCAATAACCCCCTTTTTTATTGCTTCCTGGATAAATAGCTTCTAAGACTAACTAGTATCAGATATTTTGTTTTAATTTAACAGAACTGAAAGAAACAAATTATATATTTTTTAAAAAAATATACAGACCCCAAGTAGTTGAATTATAAACCAACAAAGTGTTTGACTTACATTAATGTAAAGCACTTTGAAAGCATTCCTTCAAATCACAACAGAGGTAGTGATATAAACCATGGATCTTAACATGGATGTGACAGTCATTTCTAAAGTTCTTCTTACCCTGATCTTTTCATCCCGTATACCAGGGGTCTCCAAACTTTGCAATTTTAAGACTTGTGGATTTAAACTTCAAGAGTTCCCCAGGCAGCAGGAGAATTCTGAGAGTTGAAGTCCACGAGTCTTAAAGTTGCCAAGTTTTGGAGATCCCTCCTTATTCTGTTACCTGCCCATGACTTTTTCTCATTACAGGAGAAATACCTGAAATGCCAATGTTCAAAGCTGTGATCACCAAAATAATACATGGAAATTATAGCCTCTTGATCTCAGCCGTCTTCCCCAAAAAATCCAAAACCCCACCTGAGATGAATCAATAGTATTCAATAGTACAATGATGTTGTGTTTAGCCTCTAATAACAATATTGGATTATTTTCTACAAAAATGGTTGCAGTGTTTCTTTTCTTTTTTTTTCACTTGGCTAAAAAGATGTAAACATTTATTCCGTGAACAAAGATAGATCTATCTCCTTTCTTTTTATAGCTTTATCAGTAATATGAAATGTACGACTTATTTTAGCCTAAAGAAGAATCAAAATCCATTTTGCAATATAAATATGCAATTGCATTTAGTACCATTTCATTGAGCCTCACGCATCATTTTAAGTCAAGTTTTTATAAAAGGAATATGGAACATAACATAGCTTTCTAATTACCTGATCTTTCTAGAAATAGTAAGATTAATTAATATACAAATAATGACACAATTTCTAATATTCAGGACATTGTTTACATGACTAAGCCATTTTAATACTTTGTTTTACAACAAGGTGAGTGATGCCAGGTAAGAATATCAGCTTCATCAAACGTGCAGAGATTCATTCAAGTCACTGATGGGATGACCACAGAATATTCTCTAGGAACTGAGTTGTGGAGAAAACTGTTGCATTTACTACATCGTACATTGGAAAATGTTGGATAATTTTTATTAAGGCCAGTGCAAGTCTTAAGCATTATCTTTTTAGCTTTCAAATGTCTAGTCAGCCTGTAACAAAATAGACATGAATAATAGCAAGAACATACATTTCAGACATACTAAAGGATTAAAAATATCACCTTTCACTCTAACTTTCCTATTCTTTCTTCTTTATAAATGAAACTTTATCTTTGGTTTCTTGTATCTTTTCAGTTATCCTCTCTTTTGTTTCTTCCATTTTCTCAGTTAATTTTTCTTTTGTTTCTTCCATTTTGCCACTAATCATGTCTCTTGTTTCCTCCATTTTTCCCGAGATTCGTTCTTTTGTTTCTTCCATTCGGTCTTGAATATATTCCTTCACTGGAGGTGGTGTGGACATATATTCATGCTTGCGAAGATACTTCACAGTGATGGACGTTCCTCCTAATGTCACTGTGTATCTGGCTGGAGTTGCAATCTTGCCAATAAAAGAAAAGTGTGTTAAAAACATATAAAAACATTAAGGTATCAAGTGACTTTAAATTCAATTGTCCAATAGCATTCACAGGCTTGCTTTTAGCTACAGCTCTTTAGACACTGACTGTGATAGTTAAAGTACTAATATAACCCTAGCAAGGAAGTTCTCCAAGCTATTCAAAGCATTTCCTAAAGAGATAGAGGCAGATCTATGTATTTTAATAAGTCATTCAGACACTATAAGAACAAGCTGCTCCCATCAGCAACATCTGTGCCTCCCAAAATCTACTCTGAAATGCAGAATGCATCATCTGCAAAGTACTTTAGAGAACTGTTGAAAATGGAAGAGAAAGCTGAATTTAGTCTCATGGTTTATCTGAATTATTTTATAGCTCTTAAAGCTTTGATAGTTGAGTTGTGCAGTTTCATTTGAATAAAATTAAAAATAAAATATAGTCACAGAAATTACATTTTCTATGGGGGTACAATGAAGAATAATTCCTAGAGAACAGATGAAAACTTTCAAAATATTTAAAGAAAGAAAATATTATCTCTGTATGAATTAAATAGGACTTTTATGCAGTTTTGATTGTCCTTTTCAATTTTGTACTTTGTGTGCGTCTTCATTTTTCTTCCTACCCAAATCATTATTTCCTCTTTTTTAGTTTTATGTAATGACATATCATGACATATTAAATGAGAAGACATAAACAAATTCCTTGGTTTATGGTTTGGTGTTTTGTATTCATTTAAACATTCTCACTACTTTAAAAATTAAACTTAAAAATAGTTTTAAAAAATACCCTCCTACTTTATTTAATAGTTTCTTATTGGCAAGTATTTAGCAAATACTTCAGCATGGATGGATGGAAGAGATTCAGTTCAAAATACGTGGCATTAAGCAGAGAAAAAGAGATCCGAGAAAAATAAAAAAGAATTATGTGTGTGAGCATTTAAAATATCCTAAATGCTATTGAGCCAAGAAAGTAATTATTTGTCATGCAATAAAAACTTTTGTCTTTAAAGTACTAAAGTACTGAGATGCAGAAATTAAAAAAAATAAAATTATGGTTTTTGTCAAGAAAAATACTATTTTCCAAAGTTGTTCTTTAAGGCTGAAAATCAGAAAATCCATTTCAAACTAACTATTGCCAGAAAATATATTTAAACCTAAAATTTAGAGTGTGTAAAGATTAACAATATTTTACGTCTGGGCATTTTTGTATTATTTTTAAGAGATAATTTTAAAATTATGAATAATTCCACAGAGCCAACACTTTTAATGTTGTCAAATGGCATTGATGATGAGAGTCATACGCTCACAGGCACATAAGCAAATTAAACAGTATCGCTTTGCAATTATTTTTCGCCCTTTTTTATTTACAAAGAAAGGTCAGGATGCATTGCAAAGCAAAACTATTAACATTCCATTATTATTCCACCGTGTGGCACTAATAAGGGTGCCAGAATAGTAATGGAGACACTGATGGGAAAGCAAGCTTTTGTTGTGCCAAAGGCTAATATAGGGAACTGCAAATGATGTTCCTGGAGCAGCAAATCTAATCTTACATCACTTGTTAAGGCCTTTGAATGTCTGAAAAAATTAAGTTTATGACCAACTAGATATTGCAAAAGGTCACATTTTACTAAACAAGACTGTATAGTATAAAAGTTGTGAAATATAGAAAATTTAAATGGAACATTTCCTCATGACAATAAATATTTTTTAGATAATGATACACTATCCAAGAGCCACTGTCAACCCTTGAAACGACTTCAGCCATGCTTACTTTCGTTTAGTTTCTCAGTTGCCACTCTTGGGGGGGGGGGAGTCAGAAGGTATTAGAATGTGGTGCCTTAACCTGCTAGACAAAACATCTACCAGAATCCGCGTGAGAGCCAAGGTCACGGCAATGAACATCTGCTGAGATCATCTGCTGAAACTGAGGGGGAAGCTGCTGACGGACTAATTGGTTAACGTAACCTAAGACACCTGAGGGGATGGGAAGTTTTTATTCTTTTAACCACCCTAAAGTACGGGAATTACTGAGAGCTAGGTTCAACTTTCTACCTGCCAATATGATGTTCTCAATAAAAGGTCTTTTGAGCCTGACTGAAGCCTCAGAGTCCTGATTTGATTGGATTCATTACTCAGAACCATGACATCCACTCAGTGAGTCTGCTGTAGAAGTGCACTTGGACAACGTGATTTTCTAAGGTTCTCCTCTCCCTGCCTTGCCAGTTGCACCCCAAATCTCCTCTAGAGGATCTCATGCAGGGAGGAAGAAGGCAATCTGATGAGCAGAATGATGCCACTGAATACAACCCAATGTCTTCTTAGTTTCTAAACAGGTGTCCTCTTCATTATTAACCTTTTTCCTTTTTTATTCCTCCAGCACTGTTTTTTTTTTACTTTCTTACAAACTTTTAAAATGTGTTTGCATTGAACTAAACATTTTCTGTCATAAGCATCAAATTATGTAAATAAATTTTAGCATATTTTCTTTCATCACTACGTAGAGAATTTATTTTATTCATTATAACATTATTGTATCTATTCAGAGCCTTCATGACAGAATCTATTCCTCAGTAATTACACACACAGACACACAATTGCCTACTTTGAATGCAAAATCCCAGAGGCTCACTCGTAATTTTGTAGGGATAGTCTGGGGTTGATGGATTCAGTTTTCCTTAACCCACCTCTGTCCACAAATTCTAGCTGTCTGCCACACATCAGAATGCCCCAAATTAAGGAGGTCTTATTATCTAAAGTGATTCTTGGTACTTTGCTCTGTTTGCCCTGCTAATATTAGTGGGTGGTGATAGTTTTCTCCTTGGCAATTCCTTGATTAGGGTACAGTTTTCTGCTCGTTTGTCTGGTGCTAATCCCTGTTTATCAGGGTATTGTTGCTGGAGTGGATGTGTTCTGATCTTTTTGTTTCCTTCTTAGCTTTTAACTATTTCTTTTGAATGGTTTGTAAATGTGGTTTATCTATATGACTATTGATAGCTGATGTGTTTAATGCCAAACTTCCAGGAATTTCCTAGTGTTTTAGAATTTAGTTTTCTCTAGGATGCTCACAGTTTTCCAGTTGAAATGATGGTTGAGTCTGTCCATGTGTTGTGAGATTAAGGAGCTTTCATTGTGTCTTCTAACTGCTAGTTATGTTCATGGATACACACAAATCCCACATTTGCTAGTCAGATAAGGAAACAATGGCGAGCAAACAATGAAGCTCAGAGAGCACCAAGGACTTCACAGTTCAACTCTGAGCTATAGATATTCTCTTCTATTGTAACTGTACATTAAAATATTCCTGTGAGAAGCGTTAATAAACCCATGGATCTACTTACCTTATACAACGCATAGGCAGTTAATGCATTTCCACTTTGAGAATGCTTTAGGATGTTTACAATGCTTTCAGGCAACCCTATGAATTCAAGAAATGGAACGACATTTACTCCCCTGTAAAATGAAGACATATTAAAATAAATTACATCATTCCTATTTCAGTAAACTTTTTTGTAGAGTTATAATAAAGAAGGATTTTTACATTTGATAACAAGTTTTATTTTTTTTTCTCAACTGATACAGAGTAATGAATGAATGGTCAATAGGTTATAAGAAGGAAAACATGAAGTATATCACGTACAGAAGATTTCCAGTTTTGAAATTTAATTTCAATATTCTAAAACTATGATTTACAACCTGTGTTCCATGCCCTAGGGATCTGGGAGGGTGCTTTACATGATACAGCTTCCAAATGAAGTGTGCATGTATATAGAATTATAAACATATCTAAATAGCAAAAATACCACCAGATTGTCAATTTGATATTTCAGGTGGGAAAACCAGCAACTTAGAAGATGTAATGATTTTGTATGGCTCTGCTTATTTTTACCTAAATTATGAATCCTAAGAGCATCAAATGGAAGGGATCAAGCTTAACATAGTACCTGCAGGGGCCAGGTTGATGTTCTTTGACTAATATAGTGGTCTTCAAAACTGATGATGTAGTGCTATGCATTAAAATGTTAAGAATCATCTTTTTAGGCTATTCAGACATAACTGACTCTTAGAGTTATTTCACTATTGTATTTATTGTGGTAACTCAAGGCCAAGATGAATGAAAGAATTAGTCTCCAGGGCAGACTATATGATTCGCATTAAAATAATTTTGGAATGTTTGCCTCAACCATAAAAGCTAATACTGATCTGGCATATGTCAACTTCTTATCTAAACAAGCTACACAATAAGTCTTAAGAGAAAAATATAGTCAAGTTCTTCTGAAAACATGAATTAAACATTATTCTGAACATGTAGACTCCATAAAATTAAAACTGAGTATCAAATGTTAACCTTGGTCCATTTGTACCAATGAATGTTAGCTGATTTCAAACAATACCTTAACCTGTGCCTTGGAGAATTATTGTTGGAAACTTTATTGGATATAACTCACAATATGAAAAAGTGACGTGTCACAACCCTACATGTTTGTCTGAGAAGAAATTCAATTACTGTATTTTTAAGGCTTGTCGACTGGAAAGTGGGCAGTTCGAAACCCAAGTACTGGGTGATGGGGTGAGCTCCTGTTCTTGCCCTAGCTCCTGCCAATCTAGCAGTCTGAAAGCATGCAAATGTAAGTAGATAAATAGATATCACTTTGGTGGGAAGGTAACAGGATTCCTTCCAGTATAGATATGCTGGCCACAAGACCACAATAGTATTTTCGAACAATGCTGGCTTCCTTGGATAGGAAACAGCAACCCCTAGAGCTGCACACAACTGGACAGGGGAAACCTTTACCTTTTTATAATGTAACCATGCTTTTCTTTTCAGCTCACCTCTTTGAATTCTGTCACTTGATAGATAGAATGATAGAATAACAGAGTTGGAAGGGACTTTGGGGGTCCAACCCCTTGCTTAGGCAGGAAACCCTACACCACTTTTGATTGGCAGAAAGTTTTCAAGATCTTGAAACAAAATTTGTTAGGATAGAAACTTAACTATTGATCTGTTTGGAAAGGGGTAGTCATTTACCCCTAGATAACAGTAAATAAACAGCTAATGAGTCAATTACTGGCAATGCCGAAGTGAAGATTTATTCACTTTAAATAGGTTACAATTTGTGGCCTCTCATAGAAGAGGTAGAACAATGATAATTAGTGAGCAGAAGGACAAGTGTCTCTGACATCAGAAGGTATTATAACTGTTTTAGTTATTCTAACCAGATGGCATTAAGTGCCCTTTCTAAAAGCAATGGGTCTAAATGTCATTCTAAATTTATCCCTTCTCAGGGTAATAAACATCCAAGCTGTTTAAAATTTTGTTTCTAGATATATATTTATCTTCAGGTTTTAAGAAAAAATAAGTACCTGGTTTTGTTAGATATTACAGACATTAATTGCATTTACTTCTTGATCATGTAGTTTGATAGTTTTAAATAAATCTAAGGATCTAAATTGGGACGCTAGAATATTAATGTTTGGGATGGTTGTTTTTAGTTTTCAACGAGATATCTTATTTTAAATCTACATAGACATTCAAATATATTTAGGATCCTTCTTGCAGAACTACTGAATTCATACAGCACAGAGCCTTTAAAACTCATTTAAAGTGCTAGTCTATTCATATGTATATGGGATTAATCCCACTGAACTTTGTCACACTTTTGTATATATGGCAGGGATTCCAATTTTGTAACTTAAGCCAGAGATATTTTAAATATTCACTAGTAAGGTTTAGAGCATGCATGCAAGCATGCAACAGAATTACTGAGCAGAGATCCTATATTATATATTAAGTTCACAGCCCTAGCAGATATTTTCTTAAGTACTAATTCAACCTGTACTACTTATTCTAGCTTCATCATTAGCATTTTTACATGTTACACAATACAAGAAACTGTTCACCTTTTGAAATAAAGCTAGGAATAAAACAGAAAATAAAACATCAGAACTGCTATAAACACAAGTATAACTTCCTATTTTATATATAGACTCCACATACTATTTTTTTTCATAAGATGACATCTTATTAATTGTCTTACTTTTACAGGTAGTTTCGATTTATGCTTATAATTGAGCCCAACATTTCTGTTGCTAAGCGTTCACTGAGTTTTGTCCCATTTTACAACCTCTCTTGCCACAGTTGTTCAGTGAATCACTGCAGTTGTTAATAACACAGTTAAGTGAATCTTGCTTCCCCATTGACTTTGTTTGTCAGAAGGTTGTAAGAGGTGATCACATGATCCCAGGACACTCCAACCGCCATAAATACATGCCAGTTGCCAAGCATCCGAATTTTGATCATTTGGCCATAGGAATGCTGCAACGGGTATTATACATCACTTTTTTTCAGAACTATTGCTTTCAACTGTCACTAAACAAATGGTTCTAAGTCAAAACCTATCCGCAATGCAAACATCTTATCAGTTTTAAAAACATTATGTTTTATTGCACAAAGCAAATAACTACTTAAATGTTGACTTTGTAATTTTATTTTGAAAAGTAACCATGATTTAAAAATTGCTGTTTTTTCTTATCTGGTAGGCCAGGAACTAAATTTGAAGCTTTCTATAACCTAACAGAAGTTGCATGGAAATAAATGAAGTATGGCCTCTAACACAGATTTTCTTCACCACCCACAAATTCTACTTTCCACTAATCAATAAAGTGGCACAGAACAAGAGTGAAGGAAGGAGACCTCCAACAGAAAGAACATTAAATTTGGTAGATTTAGGTAAGAAAATCACAATGCAATTTTACAGAATTGTATTAAAATTCCCAGTGAGTTCAAAGGGCTATTATTAGTATAAATTTACAACTTTAGTTAATCTAGTAAAATCAATTTTATTTTAGAGTATGCATAGGCACTTTATGTGTATTTGGGCTTCCTACTCAGAAAAGTTACAATTCCTTTAAGTGTTTCATTACTTCTCTCGTACATCTAAATGCATTCCTTTTCTCATACAAAATCAAGTATTTTCATACCAATTGTTCAAGTATGATCTTGATAACGTTCTAAGATTTTTTTTCTAATTTCAAATATGATAAGCTCCAGGCTCTTTTATTCTACTCTTCCTGGGGACTCTTCTAAGGCTTTCAATAAGCAAAATAGTGCTTGTTAAATTTTCAGTCTTTCCTGCACTAAAGTTGTTTGCTCCATCCTTCACTGAATGCTTGGCCAATTAAGATAATACACACTGTTGTTTTGAAATGAAATACAAGGTAGCGCTGGCTCTTCCCTTTCTTCAGGTCCATCCTCCCCAAATTTATGTACAGTTTTTTTTTTTTTAAAAGAACACAACGTGAATTACAACAGAGAAATTATCATCGGTGTTCTGCATATATAATAGTTCTGTACTTACTTTAAAGCTGCATAGTAAAAAGTTCCAAACCATATGCTGGAGGTCAAAAGGTGCACGGGAATCAGAACTTTGCCATACTGTTTAAAAGTTTTCTTGAATCTTTGCACAAGGCTAATGGATTTATCTTGTAAAGGGTCAAGTTCTACAGAATTGGGCTGTATAGGTGTTCCACTGGCAAAATTACCAGCCGATGTGGTAAGGTTTTCTCTCTTCGGTTCTTTATTTTGAGGGTCTTCAGGTTGGGAAGATGTCTTGTCCACCAAGCCCCCTTCTTTGGAAACCCAAAAAGGAGTGGACATATGCAGATATTGACTTTGGCAGCTCAGCACCCGGAACATCTTTTTCTGCCTTATTGGATGTAAGGATGTTTTCCCTTTGATGCATGGAAAGATACAGGAGCGATAGGATAGCAAACAGGTCCTAATTGCCAGCTGAAACGGTTTCTGCATTTTGGTCGATTGTGGCAGCATTGTGCTGATAGTTCTGTATACAGCTCCTAAGAAATATTAAGAACTGAATTGTTAAATTAAGCGAAGAATTATCCCTTCTATCATAATTACATTGTAAAAGCAAGAAAAATTGAGTCACTCCCTTAATCAAATTTTAAGTTAGTATAGTCAAATCTTAAGGTATGTAATTTGCAAACCTGATTTATACAAAATTCACATACAGTAATTCAGAAGGTGAACAGTTCCTTTCTCCAAGAATTCAGTCTCTCTGCTCTGGGTTGTTCACCAGCTATAATTTATGTACAAATAATTTATTTATTGAATTTATATTGCTGCCTATTCGCCCATGGCAACTCAAGGCGGCTTACAGAATATAAAGCCACATTTAAAACAATAAAAACTAACAAAAAGAATCAAATAAATTAATATAGTACTATAGACCTCCCAGCTCCGGTGACAGCAGATCACATGAGCCATTTAATGGGCTCCATCCCGCTCTGGGTTCCCCCAGGCCTGCATAGGATTATTATAATGTACTCTTTCTTCATATTTCATATAGCCCATAATACAAAATCATAGTAAAATAGCATCAGAATCCATCCAAGCGTTGTAGTGAGAATTAAACCCAGCACATTTATTGAAACACTTTTGTATATCAAAATCTTTCAGTTCTTTCCGCTATATGTTCCCTGCATTTTACAAGGGATCAAAGAAGCCCAGATATTTATAAAATACCAAAAATATTAATTACATTCTATTGGCAAATGCTTATGTTGCACATTATTATTAGTTGCACATTAATATTAGTTGTACATTGGTACAATGCATTAGACATAGCAATCTGAAGTTATAGCCTGCCCTCTAATGTATCATTTTAGCACTACAACAAGTGTTGTGAATGACTGATATAAGAAACTTTTCCCATGCAAAGATTTTCCAGTGGTCAAATTACAATATAACTGTGGTTTTGTTTTCTCTTTCCTAAATAACAATTACATAACTTTTTCTGAGAGTTAACTCCATACATAATGAAATATACTAAACTCTGATAATTAAGTTTTACTTAATTAAATAACTTTCAAATTAAAATGATTACATTTTCTTAAGTGTGACCAAATGTTGTCATGTAATACATAAGAAACATGCGTGGCAGTTTATATATGCAATGTGTTTTATCAACTGATCCATAATGATTCTTCTTCACCTAAAATGCTTTCTAATTTATAAAACATAAGAAAGAGGGGTAGTTTTGATATAATTTTATTCCAATGCAGATTATGTGAAGAATAATGCCAGCAACAATAATTTATCAAATATACCAAAGCAAAATTTGAACTCCCAATTTGAACTTGAATTCATATCAAAGTTACTTCTAAAATTGGATTTAATTTGCTTTATAGACTTGAGCAGTAACAGAATAACAGAACTTGAGAAGTAAACATATTATGACTGGAAAGTCAAGTTCAAAACATACAGAAAATTAAAACTAAAATCTTACTACTTAAATAATGCAATCACTTCCTTGGATAATTTCCTACTGTTAAATAAAAACTTCAAAGTCCCAATATATTAAAGTGATGCTTTTCTTTGACTATTAATTAAACCATAAAAGTTACTGTACCGGCCGATAGCATTGTGAAACTTCACAATGCTATCAGTACAGTATAGGACTTATTATAAGGATTATAGATATTACAAAGACAAATTACAATGCTTATACCAGATAAAAGTCAAATGATTTTTCTGTAATAAATTAACAGCACAGTCATATCATTAATGTAGTGGCATACAAAAAAGCCATCTGAACTTCAGAAATATTGCACTATTTCAATCCATTTTTATTAGCTATACTTGATTCCAGCTGGTCAAATCACTCACTTTTAAACTTATGGTAATACTTAAAGCTCCTTACTGAATTCAAATATGTGATGTTATTTAAGGCTCATTGCCACTGAATGCTAATCTTGCTGCCCATACATAAAACACAAAAAAATCCTGTCTTCAATTAGATGCCCATAATAATTGTCTCTTTAAAAAGGACAGCCAATAGAACCACAGAACCTAAATAGAGTTTGTTAATCAGCAACATCACCCATAATTAAGAATAACTTTGGAGCAAAAATACCGTATTTTCCGGCGTATAACACGACTTTTTAACACATGAAAATCTTCTCAAAAGTCGGGGGTCGTCTTATATGCAATCAAGCAGGCAGGGAGTTGTGGACTTCAACTCCCAGAATTCCTCAGCCAGCAAAGCAAAGCTGGCTGAGGAAATCTGGAAGTTGAAGTCTACAAGTCTTAAAGTTGCCAAGGTTGGAGACCCCTGTTCTATTGGGTAAGTTTTTTCCCCCTTTGGGAGCTTTAAAAAAAAGTTAATTGGGGTTTTTTTTAGTTGTTCTTTTTTTAGACCTAGCCATTTAAAGTTTAGGAAGTTTTAAATGTAGCTGCTTTTATATAAAAATAAAAATAAAATAAAATAATTTTTTTGTGCAGCTTTCTGAGATTTAGTGTGTTTCTGTAGTGTTTCACAAACACACAAAATCTCACAAAGCTGTATGTGGAATTTTGTGTGTGTAAAGTGTGAAAGTTGGTTTTTTGGACTTTTTGTGGCTGTGTGAGGTTCCTGCTTGTTGCAGGGGCCATTTTGGGTCTAGCACAGCTGCTTTTACATTGTGGGTAAGCCAGTTGTGTTGTGTTGTGTGTGTGTAAAGTGCCAGGGACTTCCCCAGCACTTGCTCTCTCTCTATTGTTTGTTATCTTCCTCCTGTCATCATCAGTTACAGTTTGGTTGACAGCTTAGAAAACAAACAGCATGGCAGCTCCCATGGGTTTATTATCTTATCCTTTCTTTCAGCTTTAGAGTGAATTAGGAAAAGTTTAATCCAATTGCACTGTTTTATGTTTACATGTTTGATGACAAACAGCCTTATGTTTATAAGTGACAGTTTTCCTGCTAAGTACCTGCATGTCATAAACATTTGAATTAAAATTACCATTTTGAAATCAAATCTGATGTTTTTAAATTTTTATTTGGTGTGCATTGGAAAAGGGGTAGTTTTATATGGTGAGTATAGCCCAAACCCTGTATTTTAACAGGAAAAGTCGGGGGTCATCTTATACACCCAGTTGTCTTATACGCCGGAAAATATGGTACCATAATTTGAATATTTGAAAATCTTGTGCTCTGCAAGTGATATTTAACTGTGAGAAGATTACTATCGTAGAAAGCACACACATATTCACTTGAAAGAGAATATATGCTATGGTGCCTTTATGTCCAAACAAGTCATTAATATAGAATATCAAATAAGTAATCTAATTTGACAATAGTTGTACAAAGACAGCTATAGTAAGGAGAAAAAATTCCTCACCAGTTTACAGCACTCTTGGAACTAATTTGCCACTAGGACAAAACATTACAGATGTATTATACCATTGGAAGAGAGTCATGATCAAGTCATTGTCTTCAGGTATGTCATAAAACCTCACAACGAATATATCTAAATATTCCTTCAACCAAAAGGACCTTCAGCTTCCAGTAAGAGCAAAACCTACAAAAAAGATTAGACATTTTCAAAACTCAGACAATAATATCCTCACTATAATAAATTAGCTACTTTGGCTTACATTATAGACTAAGACAGACTTGATGTCAATTACTTGGCATTACACAGCATTATTTCTCAAGTACAAGATAATGATATTATGATTATAAGCTAAGATAAAGTGCATTCTTGAAGGTATCCAAAACTTAAATTGTAAAGAAAATCTTCACAGTCCTTAAAATAAAGTCTACTCCTTGGAAAGCCTAAGGACTCAATGTAATGTAGTTTCAGTTTTGATTCAGTAGAGGGTAAGGGGCTGGGTGTGATTTTTAATAAAAACAGAAAGGCTAAGAGGAATTTTCCCACAATTGATTCTTTTTGAATTTAAAATAACATTTCCCTCCCCTCCACCCACATCTTCCCCTTGCTTATTTGGGAAATTAATTCCAATTAAGATGAACCTGATTGAACATGAGAATTGGGGCATCCAGGGAACAGGGAATTGGGGCATCGAACAGGTGTTTCTCCTGTAGTAGCAGCAGAAGGAAAGTTTATCTCTTGCCCACAAAGCAACATCTGTATGGATGGCTTACTTTTGTTTGGAACTTCAAAACTGACTTTCATGTCATCATCTATCTTCTTGCACTATGCACTATACACACTGCATTTTCTCTTCCCTTTAATGAGATTCCAAAGTGTACCTAAACATTCAAAAAGATTCTGTACTGCACTTTTCGGCTTGCTACGATCAGATATCTGTGCACTTTGTGTGTGTTCTTAGTTCTTCTGGATATTTGGATTCAGGATACCAGTGTAATAACTATGTCGTCTTCAGAAGCCCTCCAAAAGTTCAATAACCATTAGGATTAAAAAGCAAGTAGAGTATGCATTTGTATCTAAGCTTATTACTCCCCCCCCACCCAAATTCTGTGTTGATGCTTTAATTTGGAGCACACTTTTGGAATTTTGATTGTGATGCTGTAAGATACAACTGAATGATCTAAGTTATACACCTTCACTCGTGACAATGTTAAAGTGTCTAAAGACTTTACAGATTGACCTTCTGTATGGAAATATGTACTGTAATGCCGTCTATGGTGTATTTTGCTGAAAAGACATTGGATTTTCTGGTTTCATTTGTTTGCCTCTGTTTTTTTTAGTACTTCAGGTGTAAAACTTTTCCTGGAGTGTGTGTTTTGTTCTGTGTTCTATCAACCTTGCACATGTTATTTATTTGTAGGAAGCAAATGATGGTAGCCAAGTAGGGACATTTTTAGTATTCCAGGCTAGCCCTGTCTTAGATAATTATCTTTGCTCATGTTATCAGATAGAAATTAGCTTTGGCAGACAGCCAGGGAATGAGGAATAAACTCTGCAGATAAATACAGTGGGGAGGGGGGATACTAAGTCACATTTCTGTGAATGGCTGCAATGTTAGTTTCAGGAATAGTTTTTTTCTTATGCCATTGAATCACTCTTGACTTCTGACTGACTTGGACAGTACCTGCAGTTTTCTTGGCAGGATTTCAGAAGTAATTGTCTATTGCTCCCTTCCTAGCGGTAAGAGAGCATGACGGGACTAGAGTCATCCAGGTAGCTTCATGCCTAAAGCAAGACTGGAATACAGTCTCCAATTTTGAGCCTGGTGCCTTTACCACTACACCAAACTGGGTTCTTATGTATATCTTAGAAAAGAAGGTTTATTTTAAACAATTTTTAAAGTAACATCTCAATTGATAATTTAATATATAATGCCAGGATGTCCTCCTGCTCTGGAAAGAAGCAATTGCTTAAAAGGATTGTGTCTAGAGTGAGAGATCAAGAACATGTAGCCTGTCAATTTATCTCTCTTCACATTTCATTCAGTTAGAATATTTTTATAGTCATGGCAAATGGTTGCTCTAAGTTCAAGACTAGGGCGAATTCTGACCTGTAAAATTTAATAACCACTAGGAGGCAGCAGCTGTATTTAATTTATTTGATGCCTGCTAACAATTATCCAGATTTCTGCAGCCCAAGGGACTTCTTCTAAACCTCAGTGTTTCATGCCTAAAAGTGTTCTGAAGTTTTGCCTGGGTTGATGCCCAGAATGGGAAAATCACCAGAGATTTTGTTTCACCTCAATTACTTTTTCTCTTTCATGCATTTTCCTGAAAAATAACCTTTTCTTTTCTAAATACTCCTAACAGATAGTGGTTATTGCAACCACTTTAAAACAAACAAACTGCCATTCAAAAAAACAAACAAACTTTGCAATAAGCTAATGATTATGGTATCAAACCTGAACAAAAGGTTTTGTTGAATTTCTCACCTCACTCAATAATTCCTATGATTTATGTGCAACAAATGCTGTACTTCCAAATGGATATATAAAAACCTTTTAGCGCTCTCACACAACATAGGCTACCACAAAGAGAAAAAAACACTAACCCAAGCTATGCCAAACCTTTCAAGAAGGCGTTTCCAAACCTACACCGGAGAAAACTTGTTGGCTCTGTCTCTCTCACACGCTCCAAATAAATACAAGTAGCCCTCAACTTACGACCACACTTGAGGCCAAATTTTCCGTTAGGTGAGACATTTGTTAAGTGAGTTTTGCCCCATTTTATGGCCTCTCTTCCCGCAGTTGCTAAGTGAATCACTGCAGTTGTTACGTTAGTGACACACTTGTTAAGTGAATCCGTCTTCTCCATTGACTTTGCTTGTCGGGAAGTCGCCAAAGGAGATCACATGACCCTGGGACCGTCATAAATATGAGTCAATTGCCAAGCAACTGAATTGCGGTCACGTGACCCCTTTGGGGATGCTGCAACAGCCATAAGCATGGAAAAAAAAAGGTCCTCCGTCCCTTTTTGTTCAGTGCCCTTGTAACTTCAAAGGGTCACTAAACGAGCTGTTGTAAATCGAGGACTATCTGTAAAGGAGCTCAGTCATTCAAAAAAACCAAAAAAACAAAACCACCCAGTCTCCAACTTCAGGCACTGAAATGCCACCTGGTGCTGCAGTCACCGCCCAGGGGCATTTAAGGCGGCCTTTTCGGAGCAGGTGCAGTGCGAGCTTGCAAGTCCCAACACGCGCACATCCTAGCTGGGGATTATGGGGACTGGAGTCTCAGCATCTTTGATGCGCTTCGGACGGGAAAGGCTGACGTAATGCTACAGCAAGGCTGGCAAGCAGCGTCCGCGGAGCTAAGGCGACCCTGTCCCCGCAGCTTACCCGACAGGGGCTTCCTGGCAAGCACACAGGCGCCCCCGGCCCCAAATCCGACCCTTCCCCGGGTGGCTTCCTCCGGGCGCAGACCAGACGAACCTCGCCTGCTCTGCCCGGACCGCTCGGTACCTTTCAGAAGAGCTCTCCCTTCCCCTCGCAGGTGCAGCAGGAGAGCCGCCAGGCGCGCCGGGCCCACAAACTCCCTCCCGGCTGCGCCGCTCGACTCAGGCGGCCCACGTGCCTTCTTCGGACGTCCCGACCCTCGGACGCGCGTTTTCCCTTCCCCCCCACCCGCCCAGCGCAGGAGCCCTTCTAGGATCTTTTCCGCTTCCCGCCCCGCCGCCCCGCCCACTTTCCCTGACCTTCCCGGAGAGGAAGTGGCCAGGGCGACCCCGGATGGAAAACGGGGGAAAGTGGCGCGGCGTCTCGTTTTCCTGAGAGCGGGAGGCCGAACGTCGCCGCTCCGGTCAACCAGGAGGGTGAGCTTGCGCTGACCTGCGGGCGCGCGCGGAAAGGAGCCGTTGCGGCCCAGCCTCAATTTTGGCATCTTTTCTCTCAGCCCGGGAGGGGGGGGGGGGGGGGCTGCTTCTTCTTCTCCCGGTCTGACTGACCGCCTTCTCGGAAGGTTATTATTATTATTATTATTTTTAAGTGTCGCGCCAGGGAAAACGGGGCCTGGCTGCCCCGTTACCGTTGAGCGCTTCTCTCCTCTATTTTTTTTATTTTTATTTTTTTTTTCCCTCCCCCGGTCGCGTCTCCTGGAGGTCCCGGAGATGGAGCGGCCGCTTCTGGGGTCAATCAAGGACCCGAGGCGCAATGAGCACAGCTGCCAGTGAATCAATTGGACGCCAGTGTTGGGGATTGCAGGTAGTCCTCGATTTAGGACAGTTCGTTTAGTGACGGTTCAAAGTCACAACTTTGACTTGCGACTTGCGACCGTTTTCCCCCCTTTTGCGGCATTTTCCCCCCATGGTGATGTGATCCAAATTCAGATCCTTGGCAACTGGTTCTTGTTTATGACGGTTGCTATGTCCCAAGGTCAGGCGATCCCCTTTTGCGACCTTCTGACAATGGAGAGGCCAGATTCACTTAACAACTGGGTTACGGACTTATCAACTGCAGGGATTTGCTTAACAACTGGCAAGAAAGGTCGTAAAGTGGGGCAAAAGTCACTTAACACACGTCTCACTTAACAACAGGAATGGGGGGGCGGGTAATTGTGGTCGTAAGTCGAGGACTACCTGTATTACATGTCCCTCCTTTTTTTTAATACATAAGGCCATGAAGATAACTAATACCACTGACTCTTATTTTCCTCACAACAACCACCTGTGATATTGTCTGCATTGATAGAGTGTGTCAGGGCCTAAAATTACCCAGCTGGGTTTCATACCAAGAGAGGCCAAGGATTCCTAGTCTTCGCACCTTCATCAGAATTACATCAGCATCAGAATCAGAATAGAGCTGGAAGGGGCCTTGGAGGTCTTCTAGTCCACCCCCCTGCTCAAGCAGGAGAGCCTGCCCTATATTATTTTAGTCAAGTAGATTGTCCAATCTCTTCTTAAAACTCTAAAAACTTTTTAAAAAACTTTAAAAACTCATCCTCATAGCTCAGCACCTTAACCATTACACCAAATGAGCTCTCAAGATCCTTGCTTTCACCTCTTTCGCAGCCCAACTAGCCAGGAATAACCTCTTAAGATCCTAGTTAGATTAAGTCATGGGAGTGTTTCCTCTGAGGCTTATGCTATTTTGTTCTGTGGCTACCGGGATGAGGAGTGCCGGTTTGTTGTATGTGCTTAAGGCATCAAACCAGAACGTGGGAGATTGTGATCTCTACTCCTACCTTAAGGCACAAAACCAGCTGTGACCTTAGGCCAGTCACTGCCTCAGCCCTAGGAAGGAAGCAGTGGCAATCAATTTCCAAAATCTTGCCAAGAACATTGCAAGGACTTAAATAGGCAGTTTTCAGAAGTCAAATCTGACTTGAAGGGACTAAAAAAAAATCTTGAGATGATTGGGAATACCCTTGGTGATGGCTGAATAAAGCATATGTAAAGAGTGCAAAACAAGAGGAAGACCAGAGTTTAGACGGACCTTGCCATTTCAATAATTCAATCCTCTGGCTGTGTTTAAAATGTACCTATTTCCTAGTTCTTATTATATTTGGGAAAACTAGTTCCCCAAAAGTAAAGTAGTTCATTTATGGGCTACTTCAAAGAGTCAGTGCAGCCGAAATTCTTTTGATAAGGCAGTTGTTGTGATGAGACCTCTTACTGAGTTTATTCTTTTCCTGACTTGTGCCATTGCATTGTAAGCCCTTAACTTCTTTTCCATTCTCCAAGAATTAGCTACCATGAAGCTACCATTTTTTCTCTTCCATCTGCCTACCTACTGATATGAAGAAAATGAAATGAAAAACAGCTTAGGATATTAAAAGCTAGAATGGTGCAAAGTGTTTGAAATTGTTTTGTAGCTCACATTAATAAGAATGAAGCATCTCTTTGAACTAACAAAGCTGTCTTTTTTTTTTTTTTTGCAAGATTAATGAAGCTGCTTCAAAATTTAGCCTATGTTCTTTATGTGCATGCACAGGTGACATTTTTTCTGGATTTACCAGTAAAAATAGGATGAAAAATATAAATCTTGTATCCCAATAATCCAGTGTGGGTTAAGGTGCTTAGAGAGGAGGCTTGTGAGAAGAAAACTTGGTTGGAATGAGTTGTATTGTAATAGGATATTCTGGAAAGGTATAGGAATCAGCTTAATGTACATGATTTGATTGATAAAGCAGAGCCTGCCACTGCCTTTACTTACCAGAATAAGCAAAAAACTCATTGCAGTAGAAGTTGATGTGGATGTAAATAAATTGATGATGCAGCTTTAAGATTATATCAGTACGTGTTGCTTTAAATAAATTTTAGTATCAATTGTTTTGATTTGTATTTAAAATATTTAATAAATATTTAGTAAGGCATACAGGTAGTTCTCGACTTACAACAGTTCGTTTAGTGACCGTTCAAAATTACAACTGCAATGAAAAATGTGACTTATGACCGTTTTTCACAATTACAACATTTGCAGCATCCCCATGATTATGTGATTAAAATTCAGATGCTTGGCAACTGGTTCACATTTATGACTGTTGCCGGTGATCACATGACTGTCCCAAGGTCATGTGATCTCCTTTTGCAACCTCACAAGCAAAGTCAATGAGGAAGCCAGATTCACTTAACAACTGGGTTACTAAGTTAGTGATTCACTTAACAACTGTGGCAAGAAAGGTCATAAAGTGGGGCAAAACTCACTTAACAAATGTCTCACTTAACAGAAATTTGGGGCTCAATTTGGTCATAAGTCAAGGACTACCTGTATAAGGATGATTATTTGAATAGCATAGATCTTGTGGCTCAAAATTAGTTTGAGTGAATTGTTTTAAAAATCAATTCAAATATGCAAATTCAAATTTAACACAATTCTTTAACAACATCATTAATATGCTATCATAATTAAAGTTACGTTCAGGATTTGTTATTTCCCAGTTGTTTGGAACGCTTTATGACCCAGTAGACATTGTTTTATCAGAATGGTCTGTCAGCAAGGTCTTGTTTAATAATAGAAAATATTATTTTTTGTTTCCAGCTGAAACAAGCTCTTCAGCTAATATGGCTGAAGTAGAAGAGAGTGGAAAGCGAAAGCGAAAGTTGGCTGAAGAACCTGATAGCATAAGTATCAAATGCCCGCGTAGGGATTCTCCTGTTGAAAACGATGATAAAACTGAAAATAAGTGTGATGAAGGTCAAACAGGAGACGGAAATACTCTTCATCATGAAACAGAATCTGAAGAGGTTCCTAAAAAGAAAACAGTGAGTGTTTCAAATATTAATTTTTAAAGAAATCAAATTCTTCCAGGCACTTTTTCCCTGTGTTTGAGGTTACCATATTTTTCGCACTGTAAGACGCACTCCCCCCCCCCCAAAGTTGGTGGAAATGTCTGTGCGTCTTATAGAGCAAATGTTGCTGAAGCTCTGCCGACTCGCTGGCTTCAGCCATTTTCAGTCTCTGTGTGTCCTGTTTTCGGCCCGTTCCAGGTGGTGGGAATCACTGCTGCCTATCGCCGCCGCCTGGAATGCTTATCAAATTAACAAAAACTGGGTAAGATAGGAGCAAGAACAAGTTTTAAGTTGAATGGGATTTCCATCTTAGTGTATAAAACACAAGAGCAGAAGATTTGCTTTTAACTACCCTGTGTCCCCCCAAATAAGACATCCCCTGATAATAAGCCCAATCAGGCTTTTGAGCGCATGGCAATAAGGCCAAGTGCTTGTTTCAGGGTTCAAAAAAATATAAGACAGGGTCTTATTTTGGGGGAAACATGGTAATAATATGATGAACCATAACAATTAATAAAATACCTGGAAGAGTAACTATTTGCATGCAAGCAAGTATTTGTGAGGTCACAATTCAAGCAGACAAGCATCTGCCACATAACATCCCAAACTTAATTATGTTGATAAGAGAAACAAAAAAAAATCTAGATAGTGGACAGGGCAGTATCTGGAGATAAAGACAGAGGAAAATGAACTGTAGAAGATTAGAAAACACAAACTTGCAAATAAAAGTAGTACCAATAGTAATAGCCATCTTGAGTGAAATCCCAAAATAACTGAAACACTAGTTGAACTCCATTGGCATTAACATTAATCAGCATCAATCAGTTACAGAAGACTGTTTTACTTGGAACAGCTTATATCCTGTCACAGTATCTTTAATACCATCAGACAATATCTGCCTATCCCAGGTCCTTGGAAAGGACTTGATAGGTAGATAAAAATGCCAAATCCAGTGTAAACATCTGGCTGACTGTGCCTTTGGCATTGCAAACAGAAATATCAACTTCACATTCCCCTTTATATGTAATATATCAGGAGAGAAAGAATATCTTGTTTACAAACTTATACCTCTTATTAATACCAAGGTAACTTGTGAAGAATATATGGAACTTAACCTCATTCAAAATGCAATAGGAAAATACATTGAGAATACATTGCTTAATATTATGTTTTGGCATTTAATCTGTTTTTTTCATGTTTCCTCTACTCGACAGAAGAAGTCCTGCTCTCTTTTTTTCTTGTACTCTGTTTTGTTTTGTTTTGTTTCTTTAGTGGGTTGGAAAGAATTTGTCAGGAAATATATACTCTATATGTAAAGATGTACCATATTTTTTTTAATATGAACCCTATTGCTATAAAAAGGTATGCAACAATTAAAGAAAAATGTTGGGGTTTAGCTATCACCTACATATAAATATTTACATGCTATACTCAATCATTTATCTTATGTAGCATTCAGAAGATGTAGCAGCGCATTATAATAAGCTTGAAGAGGTTGGATTGGAACAACGTAGCACGAGTCGCATCTTCTATCTCCGAAACTTTAACAATTGGATAAAGAGCGTGCTAATTGGTATGTCTGTACATTAAAAATACAGTTCAAAATATCTATAATTCACACATCCACTTTTTGGGATAGCTGGCTATGAGGAACAAATCTCAAACTATTTCTAAATTCCAAATATTAGATTATATATTGGAAAATTAATATTTTGATCGCACATAAAATATGACTGCATTCTTCACTGTTGGTCTATAATTCAAGCATTGTATGTATTTGTAAGATCATTTTTCTGTTTATTGTTTTAGTCTAAAAATGAGATTATAGTCATGTATATATTATGAGATAAAAATGATACTTTTTGTCAAAATTACATCTCAGTCCAGACTAGTCATTCTTGGATATTATAATTCATCATAAATTTCATCATTGAAATTCTGAGAATTCAATGATGAAATTAACTTTCCTAAGATTTAGCACATAAAGTAGAAACATTTTGAAGTGAATTAAGTTTTCATGTGGGACAGTCCTATATACTTAACTATAAATACATTCCTTTTTTTATGTTGAATTTTTTTTTTAAACAAAAAATGTATTTGTCATAAACATGTCATAAATGCATAGTCTCTTATCCATTGTTAATCATACATATTCTCTCTCCATTGTTGTATTTATTTTCAGTTTCAATATTTTCTATATTGGTATCTGAGCAACCCAAATTTTCTATTCATATATACTTTCTTTTCAATTTCTTTTCTATTTTACTGATTTCACACATATCATAATTGTACATTTATATAGTAACATTTCCCCTCTTTTTCCCCCTCCTTCCCCCTTTTTCTTTTATTCAGGTGTCATCTGAGTTTCTATTTCTTTTTTGTCTTCTCTCTCATTTACTTTTACGTTATCTAATTTATTAATCTGTCATCTTTTATTCATATTTCTTTTCTAGCCACGCATAAAATCATCCCCATGTCTTGAAATACAGTGATTCCTCTTTATCTTTAATTCTTAATGTTAATCTATTCATTTCTGCACATTCTAAAATTTTCTTTATTACCTCTCCTTCTAATGGGATTTTTTTCTGCCTTTCAATTTTGTGCAAATACAATTCTTGCCGCTATTATTATATAAATAATTAAATAAGTATCTTCTTTGCTACATTTCTCCGGTAAAATACCCAATAAAAATACCTCTGGTTGTAGTTCTATACGCTGGTGTACTATTTCTTCTAATCATGCCTGTATTCTAACCCAATAATTTTTTGCTTCCACTACATATGATAATTTAATAATTAATTTAATTTAATATTTAAATTTATATACCACCCTTCTCAGGGCGGTGAACAGCCATAGATAAAAAACATAGAATACAAAATTTAAAAACAATTAAAAAATATATTAAGCAATTTGGCCCGACAGTTACAATCCCCCATTTAAAATTCAAATTAAAATTACACCATTGGAAAGTTAGGCCAGCCCAGCCTGATGAAATAAAAAAGTTTTGAGGGCCCGACGGAAAGTACGTAGATCTGGAATCGTCCGTATCTTCGGGGGGAGCTCATTCCAGAGGGCAGGTGCTCCCACAGAGAAAGTTCTCCCCCTGGGGGCCACCAGTTGACATTGTTTGGCCGACGGCACCCGGAGGAGCCCCTCTCTGTGGGAGCGTACTGGCCGGTGGGAGGCTCTCGGTGGCAGAAGGCGGTCTCGTAAGTATCCAGATCCTAAGCCATGGAGCGCTCTAAAAGTGGTCACCAACACCTTGAATCGCACCCGGAGGACCACCGGGAGCCAGTGCAGCTCATGCAGGAGAGGTGTTACATGGGAGCGCCATGACGCTCCCATAATCACCTGCGTGGCCGCATTCTTGACCAGTTGGAGCCTCCGGGTGCTCTTCAAGGGGAGCCACATGTAGAGAACATTACAGTAGTCCAGGCGGGAAGTGACGAGAGCATGAGTGACCGTGCGCAAGGAGTCCTGATCTAGAAAGGGACACAACTGGCAAATCAGGCGAACCTGATAGAAAGCCACCCTGGCCACGGCCGTCACATGTTCTTCTAAAGACAGCCGTGCATCCAGGATAATATGATCCTGGCAATTGAAAACATTTCCAATATTTAGCTGATTTATCCTTAAACATTTTTGCTAGCCTTTCGGGTGACATATGCCATCTATAAAACATTTTATATAGGTTTTCTTTATATGCAGTTGCCATTGTTAATTTATAATTCCTTTCCCATAGTTGTTGCCATTTCTCTAATTCTATCGTGTAACCAACATTTTTTGCCCATGTTATCATTGTCTCTTTTACTTCTTCGTCTTCTAATCTGATTTGCAATAAGTAATTATACAGTTTCTTGATCATTTTTCATCTGTCCCAGTCAATATCTCGTCCAGTTCTGATTTTCCCAGTTTGAAGCCATACTGTCTCAAATCTTTATCATATCTTGATTGTATTTGCAATCGTGTGTACCAATCTGTCTCGATCCCTAGTTTTTCTAGTTCTTGTTTCAAATTTTTAACTTTTTTGTCCTGTGGGTTTTTTTGTAAATCTTTCTCTAATTTCTTATATTTCTCCTCCAATTTCTTTTGAGTTTGTCTATTCTGTTCGTTCCGTTTTCCTAAATATATCATTGTCAATCCTCTAATATATGTCTTACTAGTATCCCATACATTTTGCAATGATGTATCCTCTTTTCTATTTTCTTTTAAGAAAAATGTCAATTCTTTTTCCATATGTTGTAGAAAGCTCTTTTCATTTAGTAAATTTTGATTTAATATCCATCTCATTCTTTTTCTCTGCCCCTTCCATGTCATTGTTATTGGATTGTGATCTGCCCATGTACTTGTTTCTATATCAAACTTATATATCTTAGATATTAATTCTATTGACATCCACATCATATCTATTCTTGACCACAAGATGTGCCTATTTGAGTAGAATGTATATTGCTTTTCCTTCAAATTCTTTTTCTCCATGCATCTTGCAAGCTTAGTTCATCTGTCATTGTATAAAATGCTTTGGGGAGAGTCTTTCTTAATTTTTTATTTACTTGTGTTGATTTGTAATCTAACTCATTATTGACAATCACATTAAAGTCTCCTGTTATGTAAATAGCTTCATCTTCATATTCTAATATTTTTCTGTGTAGTTTTGCATAAAATTATTCTTGATTTTCATTTGGAGCATATATCCCTACTAATAGTATTTTTTATGGTTCATTCCTTCCTTCCTCATCTCAAATATTTGTTTAGATTGAATTGTCTTTTTGATATAAAGTCCTACTCCTCTTTTGCTTTGGCAAGCCAGCGTTGTATATAATGTCCCCAATTTTGGTTGCTCCAAAAGTTTTTTGTGTTGTTTTCTAATGTGAACTTCTTGCAAACATATAATCTCTAATTTTAACTTCTCTAATTTGTTAAATATTCTTCTTCTTTTTATTGCCGAATTTAATCCATTTATGTTCATTGATACTTTAATTTCTTCTTCCATTTCATACTTGTTTACTTGTTTTGTAGATCTAGTCGTTCTTATCTCCCTTTGTTGTTTAACTTCTTCAGCTCTCGCTCCTTCTCTTATTGCTCTTTCTTCTTGTTCTTTACTTGTCTCTTTTAGTTGTTCTTTTTTTTTCTTCCTGGTGTCCAGCTCCTCTTTCTTTACTCAATCTCTCTTCCTCTTGGAATCATATATTGTTCATAAAATAACTCTGCTTTCTCTATTGTATCTAATCTGTGTCTTTGTTCCTGCCAGTTCACCAAAATTCCTTCTAGTACCAACCATCTAAACTTCACTCCTCTTTTAATCAAACATTTCGTGAGAAATTGATATTCTTTTCTTAAGTCTCTAACTCTTCTTGGAATTTGTTTCAGTGCCACTGACTCTCTCCCTTTGTGCTTTAAATACATTCTATAAATACTATAAATACATTCAATTGAGCAGAGTGAAGCTGAGATGAAAACTCAGGGTCCATGCAAGTGCATGATGATTTTCTTTTTATCTCATACCTCTCAAAGATAGGAACATAGGCTGGAGCTCTAAATCTCTGAAAATAACCAGAAAGCTATATTCTAATATAGGGAGAACATTTCATTTTTTCACGATTATTATTTTTTCTCTTAGGTGAATTCCTTGATAAGGTACGGCAAAGAAAACAAAACATTACAGTGTTAGACTTGGGATGTGGTAAAGGTGGGGACTTGCTGAAGTGGAGAAAAGGCCGAATAAGTAAACTTGTATGTACAGGTAAGAACAGCAAATTAATTTGATATGGGAATCATGTTAAATTGTAGATAACATAGAAAAGGAACTTTGAGATATCTTTAATTTTTATTCTGCAAATATAATTTATAAAAATAGTAAGAAAATACTTTAAATCCATGTATAGGATAAGCTACTTTAATAGTACCTGGCTCTGGTAGGGTGAGAAAGTAGAGAAAATTCCCAAAGGCATATTTTATATCCATATTATGGATATAAAATATGGAGTGTGTTCAATACACTCAAGTTTGCTAATAGTGAAAACAAGAAATTTTGAAATTAAACGAAACTTGGCTATTATACGGGTAAAAAAGAATAAAATCTGCAACACTAGCATCTAGAATCACTGATTTTATTGTGTTAACTCTGTTTCAGTTGCATAGTTTCTTGAGTGGTATAAGTAAAATCAGATCTGCAGTACTTAACAGTATCTTCTAGAAGGGATGTTTTAAATAGTACACAAATAGTACACAATATATGGAAGAGAGTCAAATGAAGTTGGCTGAAGTTTCTTGTATTTGACTAATTTTACATCCAGAATTCTATTTGTCTTGCCAACTGCTAGATTCCTATCTGGGATTGTAAAATACATTATTGTCCTTAAAAAAATGTTACATATGTCAGCTATGCATGCAATAAATATGTATTATATTATATGACTGAAATGCTTTCTAATTGTTCTTTAACTGAATCTCTTCAATGCACATTCTCTAACTGCACTATCCCATACTGTACTCACTGCAAATAATTGTGTTAAACATTTGCCAAAGGTATTACTTTTAGATTTGATTTGTTCTGAATAAACCAGGGGTGAGATGCTCCTGGTCCAGACCAGATCGCCCAATCCGGTAGCGATGGTGGCAGGTGGTTCGGAGAACCGATAGCAAAAATCCCCATCCATGCCCAGCTGAGCCATGTGATCGTCAGAGCTTTTTTTTTACTTTTAAAAGCATTTTTTCTACAACTTCTTTGGCAGGAGAGGTTGTAAAAAAAATACTTTTAAAAGGTTAAAAAAAAGCCTCTGAAGATCACACCTGAGCCGCACTATAGTCAGAGGCTTTTTTTAACTTTTAAAAGCAATGCTTTTAAAAGGGAAAAAAAAGATTGCGTGCCACAGCTGATCCCTCCTGCGCGCTGTTCTACTTACTGCCTTTTAGCGTGCACTGCAACAAACCAGTAGTAAACCGGTTCAGATTTCACCACTGGAATAAACACTACTGAACACTGCCATACCCTTGATGTACTATAAATAAGAAGTATTTGGTTTTAAATAGAACTGTATTCGTTTGAATTAAGCCTCCATTTTTGCTAAATCTCACAAATAAGTGATATTTCAGCTTTTTTTAAAAAACAGATATTGCTGGTGTATCTGTACAACAGTGTGAACAGCGTTACCAAGATATGAAAAATCGTGGTCGCCAGAATGATAGATTTTTCAGTGCAGAATTTATAACTGCGGATAGCACCAAGGTATAGTTGTTTCATGCTATTTATTTTCTTTTTATTACTTTGAGATATGTTATTCTTTCTGTAAAGGATGGAAAGTAATCAATATGACTAAAGCAAAATTTTAGAAAAAGGTGCTAAACTCTTAGAAAAATAATTGCAAATTTTATAGACTGAATAATTAATCTAATTTTGTTGGCAGGGAGAGTTAGGAATTAGTCTTAAACATTACCTCTCTAAAACTGTCAAGATTTGTGGTACTGTATTTCAATGAGACAAGTACACATTTGTAATTTATGCTATGTGAAATCGTATGTTCAGATATTCACAATTTTATGTAACAATTTTTCTATATACTGTTATGTCACAAATCTACATACGGGTTGCCTAAAATTGTTCTCTTCATTGTTGTTTGTTTCCCTGGAAAAAAAGTCCGAATACTTTTTACTTAGAATTCAGTTCATAAAGATATAACAGATATTGTGATACAGTAGATACAAAAAGGTAATTTTAGTTAGGTTTTTGAAAAGCTTTGTAGTTAGGATGCTGGAATAATATATGTTTGTTTTTATTTCCCTTTTTTGTTAATTTCAGGAACTTCTGTCTAAAAAGTACAGGGATAGCAATATGTACTTTGACATTTGCAGCTGTCAGTTTGTATATCATTATTCATTTGAGACCTATGAGCAAGCGGATATGATGCTTAAAAATGCTTGTGAGCAACTTTCCCCTGGAGGATACTTCATTGGCACAACTCCAGATAGTTACCAACTTGTGTAAGTTGATGAGAATGAATTATGTGAGAACAAATAAAGGAAATACTTTTTAAGTCAGATATTTTCAAATGTCAGTTTTTTTGGAATTGATTGGACAAAGTATTAATGCCATAACATTGATGAATATCATTATTAATATCTGCTCATATTATTCACCTTGACTGTTTCATTTGTTTGCCTGCCTGGCACATAATCAATCAATCCAGCTCTGGTCTGTGGATCTTGTGACTATAATCTAAAGTAAATGTACTAAATATATAATATCATTTAAATTAGAAACACTGTATGTCTAGTTTGATTCTGTATTTTATTAGTCCACAGAATTCCTAACTTTAAAATTTTCAGACCCCCTCTTAAAAAACACCCTACCCTCTTAAGATATAGAAAAGCATTTTCTGCTCATTAAAATATCCAGTTTTCATTGTTCCAAACAATGAATATTTTTGCATGTCCCCATGTTCTGAAGCACCATTTTGCTTCTAATTTGAAGCCTTCCACAGCCATTAGACTTTGATTACCCTCTGTTAATTAACTTATTCAGGATATCCAAAGACATGCAGCCATCACATTTCTGAGTGTGCCTGTTGAAAGGTCACTTCCCCTAATATGTTGGGGCAAATCAGATGCTCCTTACTGAAGTGTCAAAGCTGTTGCATTTTCCACAGCTGCCTCACTATTCCATCAGTCTTGGCAGGCGTAATTTCCACCTGTACAAATGTTCAGATAGTCTTCAAAAAGTCCTCTGAGCAGCTGCACCATGTTTTTTCTAAGGCGTGGTTGCCTCACTGCTTTATTCTGTCTTTCTTCTGTCCAATAAGATTTTTTGTCATTGTTTTATTTGGCTTCTTAGTGTTCTTTGAATTGGCTGTAACTTCTCTTAAGTTTAACCAAATGTTGTAATAGTCTTTTTTTAATGTTTTGCCATAGAAAACGCCTTGAATCTTCAGAAACAAATTCATTTGGGAATGAAATATATAATGTAAAGTTTCAGAAAAAGGGAGAGTATCCTTTGTTTGGTTGCAAATATGACTTCCACTTGGAAGGGGTGGTTGATGTTCCAGAATTCCTGGTTTATTTTCCATTGCTGGAAGAGTAAGTTCTTACCTAATTTTATTTTTTGCATGTTAGTTTAGTTTTAATTCTATGCTATGCTATGCTATGTTGTGCTATGTTGTGCTATGCTATGCTATGCTATTTTCAGCCTCTTTGCTTTATATTTTAAATATTGTCAGCTACTTTGAGTAATTGACATAGAAAAGTAGGTTATAAAACAACAAAAGTACTGTGTTTTATTTAAATGTTTGTCAGAGTTGTCCATAAGTTGGCTTTGCCTATTTTAAGTCTTTCTGTGTAGTAATTTAAGCTTAAGTTTCCTTGAGGAATAATAGAGCCAGGAATAGCTGAATTCGAGCAAACAGACTTTTTGTCCACTGTTTGGAATTATATAGGTTGTCCTTAGCCTGTATGTTCAATGACTGTACAAAGATACGATGATGCTGAAAAATGGACAAGATTAGGCCTAACATTCTCCTGCCCACATTTCATAGTGCCCAACTGGGCATTCACCTCCCTGACACAGTACCCATCCTCCCATCTGTTGTTTCCACCTGCAGCTGTTACCTGTTTGCCTGGAATTTCTGACTCTTCCCATGCCATGGTCATGTGAAGTCTTCACTTAACAATCCACATCATTCTGGAGTTATGATGGGGTTGCCATTGTTAAGTGATGCAGTCTTATGATGTGGCACTTTATAACTGCATTATTTAATGATGGCAATTCAAGATAACCTGAGGACTAGTTGTAGCTTTCTTCTTCATTCCTTCGTCTTCTTTACATCCTCTTTTATACAGACAGAATTAGCACTAATTAAAATGAATGTATTTGGTCCTATGGTCTTAATATTGTATTCCAACTTACTTTCCAGTGTTCATAGAATCAGCAGGATGCTATGTCTGGAAAAAAGGCAAATGTAACTTAAGGCTGCTTGAATAAAAGTGCAGTTTCCAAAATCATGGAAAATAATTGTTCCTCTGCATTAGTTTACTTCACCTCAAGTATTGCTTCTAGCACTGGATGCAGTATTTTTTTAAAAATGGAGGCAATTTAAAACAAGTGTAAAATGGCAAAGAGGATGAACAGGGGACTAGAAATTAAGTCTTTCCAGAAACAAGCTAAGTGGAGTTTTAAATCTTGAGAAAATATGCCTTTTCAAGTACTAGAATAGATGACACACACAAAATGCCATAACATTGTCCCAAAGGTGCTTTTTGAAAAGGCAACTGGACTTTCCTTTGTTCTGTTTCTTGAAGATATTTTGCTTCCAGTCCCGGATTCAGGTGACCCTGAGGGCGTAGATAAACCCCAAATGACCTCAAGGACTCTCAGACAGAGTGCTAATGTCCAGTTGACTGCAAGGAATATAAATCATCCTCTCCTCCCCTCCCCCCCACCGTTCAGAATTGAGGAAGCTTCTTCGATGAGAAGTGAAACATCTTCAAGGAAAAAACAAAGAAAAGTCCAGTTGCCTTTTGAAAAAGTATCTTTGGGACAACAATGACCTGGATGACTGAGAATCTTCATGGACAATGCCACAACACGTTCTCTGTTGTTTCAGACTCAGAAAATAGAATAAAGGTATTATGTGAAAGTAGATTCTAATTAAATGCTGAATAAATTTCTTTACAGTTAGAACAGTTTGTTAATGAAACTTATTACTCAAGATAGTTGAATGTCTTCAAACAAAATTTAGACAGACAGTTTTAACAGATGCTTTAATTTTGATTTCCACATTGAGCACAATTGGGCTTGGTAATTTAAATAATTCCTTCTGATCCTGTAATGCATGTTGCTGCAATTTTGATGCAGATTATGGTAGCTCTGGATACAGAAGTACTATTTGAAAACTTAGTATTTTGAGAATTAATAATTTCATGATATGCTATAAAATTTACTTTGCAGCATGGCAAAGAAGTATAAAATGAAACTAGTCTACAAAAAAACCTTTTGGGAATTTTATGAAGAAAAAGCGAAGAACATGGAACATAAAATGCTTCTGCAACAAATGAAGGCATTGGAGGTAAGTGCTTGATATAGATATAATATGTATAATCTTAAATTGTTGGTCTGGTCAACTTTTTAAATAATGTATTATCATTAGATTAAAAGGGAATTTTGTAATAGTTTCCATGTTTATTTGCATTTGAATCAAGTGCATTTAAGATTTTGACTTTTACTATTGGCTACTCACTTCTGTAATAAACATTAAAATGTGTTATTTAAAATCTAATTGATATATGGATACAACCATTGGAGTAACCTAAGTAATAGTAAATTACTATTTACTAAGTAATAGTAAATTGTTTTAAGTTTGTTATTGATAACTCTATTGACTTTCCCCATTTGGATGTCATCAGCTAGGCTCACTGGAAATTATAAGAAATGCAGTTCCATCACATTTGGACAGCATCTGATTGCAGAAGGTTAATCTGAGATATGGGGTAGTATAAGTATAGTATCAGATCAAAGCTAAGTTGGTCTTATTCTGTAAAGATCTTGAATACAAACCACTTCTATCTCCTTTAATTCTGTAATGGGTGGAAGGAGATATACAATTATAAATTGGAAGATACAGTGTGGTGTACAACAAGTACGTTTTGTTGTGGAGATTATCACCTGCTCATATAATTTTTAGTTTGCTGTCCATGGGTTATATTTGCATTAATTCTACCTAAGCTATTTTTCAGAAATACCCCGCTGATGAAGGTTCCAGATTGGTCTCACAAATAAAAGAGGATTATGAGCATGCTGAAATGTTTAAGAAGGATGGAAAAGGAAAACTACCTTTTGTAAGTATTGGCAGAATTGTATTTCTCTGCCTGAAATGTTAAAACGTAGTCATTTAAGTCAATGTGAACACAGCAATACCTTATCTTTCAACCAGATCAGTTTGGTTGAAGTCTTGCAATTTAAGATATTTTTCTTCTCTGTTGGATAGGCTTAGGTCTCTATTAGATCGCCTATAGCACATATTCTCTTCTCTTATGGTGCCACTGTGAAGGAAGAACGTTTTCTCAGGTTGCTGACTTGATATAGGTTATGAAATCAGTCTGCCTCTTTGCCCAAATGTCAGGGAGAGATTTCCCCCCCCCCCTTAATTTCTGTAAAATGGTGAAACTATTCATGTCTTATTATTGGTTTCTGTTTGCAGAAAGGGCAAGAAAGTACTGAAGCTTTTTGTGTGTGTCATGTTGGTACACAATGTTAATGTTAGGTTTGCTTGTGTAGCAAATAGCTTTTTAAAACAGTTATTATTTGGAACTTCTGAGCCTTAGAAGGAGAAAAAATATAGTGTAATCACAGTTGTATGTTTTAAGGTCTGATATTGGCATATAATAACTTACAAAGGGGTCTTTATGTATAATCAGGGCTGTTCAAAATGAAACATCAGCCTTGTAAATAAATTTACAAAAATTGCTAGTTTAATTATTGTATTTTTCGGACTATAAGATGCACTGGAGTATAAGACACACCTAGATTTTGAAGAGGAAAACAAGAAAAAAATAGTTTTTGGTCTCCGTCCGTCTGCTTTTTGCCCTCCCCAGCCCCCAAGAGCACTCTGCAGGCCTCCCAAATCCTCTGCACGTCCCGTTTTTGCAAAAAACGGGGCCATTTTTTGCAAAAACGGGACACGGGTGGTGGTTTTGGGAGGCCAAAACAGGGCCGTATTTGATCTATAAGACGCATTGACATTTCCACTCACTTTTATAGGGAAAAAAGTATGTCTTATAGTCCAAAAATACGGTATTATGTCTACCTTCTCAGAACATAGTAATTTTAAGAGAGTTCAGCTATTGTTTGAAGATAGAAGTAGTGTAGAAATGATTTGACAAAATCCTTTGTGTGTTTATTATTGAAAATGTTTTTTGCTCCAGATAACAAATAGTTACATTCAAGTAAATTGCTATCCTTTTTTGCTTGAGTATGCTTTATTATGTGTGGAAAGTTGCAGACAATATTTTTCTAAGAGAATAGAGGTAGTCATTATTTATTGATAGTTAAAAATTACAGTGAGGATGAAAAAGTAACTGTATAACCAATCCTTACATTTATGACCTTCACAAGAATAAAGCAAAAGAAAGCTGAAGTAAGATAATAAATACAGTTGTGGTTTCACTTAGTGACTGCTTCACTAAACAACTGGATTACTGTTCCCAATTGTAGTTGCAATAACAAAGACTACATTAGTAATATTAAGAAATTGAGAAATATTCTTATTTCCTAGGTTAAAAAAGGTAACTTGCAAGTTCTAATATTAAGCAATTGTTCTAGGAAGATAAATAGTTCTATCCAAGTTAGTTGCTATCTTTGTTTGCCACAGTATCCTTTAATATATGTGGAGAGTTGCAGAGAAGCTTTTGAATATTAATATTAAGGAAATAACCAGCAGTGGTCCAGTATTATGCACAGTGGATTGAGCAGTTGGATAGATAGATAGATAGATAGATAGATAGATAGATAGATAGATAGATAGATAGACGTTTATATATTCTCTTACTTGTTAACTGATTTATTGGTTTGAAACCCAGGGGCAAAACATAGCATAAGGTTAGGGTAAACCTAAAGATGTTCTTAAATTAAGTTTAAAAGGTAAAGGTTCCCCTTGCACATATATGCTAGTCGTTCCTGACTCTAGCGGGCAGTGGTCATCTCCATTTCAAAGCCGAAGAGCCAGCACTGTCTGAAGACATCTCTGTGGTCATGTGGCTGGCATGACTAAATGCCAAAGGCGCACGGAACGCTGTTACCTTCCCACCAAAGGTGGTCCCTATTTTTCTATTTTACGTGCTTTCAAACTGCTAGGTTGGCAGAAGCTGGGATAAGTAACGGGAGTTCACCCCGTTATGGCACTAGGGATTCGAACAGCTGAACCGCCGACCTTTCGATTGACAAGCTCAGCATCTTAGCCACTGAGCCACCACTAAGTTAAGCTTAGCTTCTGGTAATTAAATAAAATCTTTCATATAAGGTGAATCTGCTTGGTTTCTAATACCAGACAAGGTCCTCCAAATTATTTTTTTAGATAAACATATATAAATGTGTAAAAACTCATTTTTTAAATTTTCTTCATGTAAAAATGTTTTTTTTAATTTCAGAGAGATGGAATTTCTCAGATATTTATAATTGGATGTTATTTATTTTTCTCACATCTTCTTTGTGAGGCTCTTGCCAGGTTATACCTGCAATAACAAAAGATCTGCAGAAGAAATCATTTTACATAATGATAAAAAATAATTAAACCACAGATAAAATAAGGCAGCTAACATTACATGTAAATGGCAGGTTCTATCATCAGAGATTTTAAGAAGGAATTGATAGATGGGTAAAAATGCCAAATCCAGTCTAAACATCTGGCTGACTATATGATAAAGCATGATAATAATATTAAGTAATAGAAAATGAAGAAGCTAAAATGGGACTTTAGAATTCAGATAGACAAGCCCCTGCCACATAACAGTTTAGACTTCATGATTGTTGGTAATAAAGGCAAAGTCTGGAAAGTGGACATTGCACTCCAGTATCTGGAGATAGAATAGAAAATAAAGACCTTGAGAGAAAATCACAAAATACAAAGGCCTCCAAATGGAAGTAGAACAACTATGGCAAAAGAAAACAACAATTGCACCAATTGTAATAAGCACTTTGGGTGGAATTGCAAAACATCTGGAGTACCACTTAAACATCACTGGCATTGACAAAATGACCATCAATCAGTTGCAGAAGCGTCATGCGCAGTGGCTGGATGCGTCAAGCGCAGGCCATGCCTACTTCAGCTCCGCGAATGGGAAAAACATCATGAAACGTCATGTGATAGCAACGTGATGCCACAAGTTTGACACCTATGCAACAGGAGGACAGAAATGTCAAATCCAATCTAAACATCTGGCCAACTGTGTGACTCATGCTATTAACAAAATCACCAGTCCATTGCAAAAGGCAGTTTTATTTAGAACAGCTTACTTTGTGTCAATACTTTTAATATCAATCAACGACATCTGCCTATCCCAGGTGCTTGGGAGGGACTTGATAGGTGGACAAAAATGGCAAATCACATCCAAACATTTGACTGACTGCAACCAATAATAACAATAGCTGTTTTTAATAATTTCCTGGATCTTAGGAAAGTAAGATCATATTTCAAAGGGCAAAGAATTCAATAATATTGCTCCCATCACAGAAAACAATATTTGCATCCTCCATCCCTCTAATTTAACAGAAATCGGAGGCTGCTTCTGGGAGCTTATCTTCAGATGGCATGACATTGAAAACTGGCAGAAAGTTTTTAGATATTTTAACAGTATGAAATCTTAGTATTAATCCAATGTTCAGCTTCTTACTGCTTAGGGTCAAAGAAAATGCTTAAGTATTATTGTAGAATTTGGTTTAGCTTTTTGAAGTATAGGAAAACTTCAGAGAAAAACAATCTTGTAAATTTCTTTCTCTTTCATTTTAGGGAACAATGAGTAAACCTGAATGGGAAGCAACAAGTATGTATTGCAAGCAGTGTTTAAAAATTCCTGGAATAGTTATCAAATATCTGTCAAATATACATATGTTTGCTTAGCAGCATTTCTGCATTTGTCTTGCTATTGTACTATTATGATAAATTTATTGAGTGGAAATATTTCATAAATCTACAAAGTGAATTTTTGCACAAAAGGACTGGTTATTCATCATAGTATTTCCAATTTCATCAGTAGGTACTGAGATTAAATTCAGTCATTTAACTTTGCCTAGCATTCAAGAACATGGAAATGAAAATCACTTTCACACTGTTAAAAAAACATTGTGAGTATATCCATGCAGGCAGTCAGTGTTGACTGTTTCTGGAAGAAATGCTTACCTTTCAAATTTATAATCAAAAATTATAAATAGGCATTAACATTTATTATATTTTACAAATAACACAAATTAATTTTCCTAATATTTTGGATGATGTTTATTGAAATTTATTCCTTAGGTCAATTCCACCGTCAAACATCAGTGGAATTGATGTAAGGAATAAATTTCAATATAGTAATATCCTTATGGTTTCAAAAAAATGGAATGACTAAAACTGAATTATGCTGAATTATTAGTTTTAAAATGTTTGAAAATTATGAGACATGCTTGATTATGCTTTATTCTTAAAGTGTAAAATAGGAACTATGAGCCACTAATTATAGCTGTTGTTGATGGTGATCAACCTAGCACCTATACATTTTGTTACATATTATCTTATCTTTCATGACATGAACCATGTACCGTATTTTTCAGAATACAAGATGCACCTTTTTCTCCCCTAAAAGGGGGTGAAAATTTGGGTGCGTCTTATACGTAGCCCTGCCGACCCATTGGCCCTCACCGTTTGGCCTCTGTCTCCCAGCAATTTACCTCCTTCCAGCAAGCAGCAAGAAGAAACAGTCCATTTCAGCTTCAGCAAGGTCTAATTAGCACAAGTTGATTATCAATTGGATTGGCCTCCCGACTCTCAGCTGTTTCAGGCTGCAGAGATTGCCATTGCCTATTGCTGCGCGGGCCTCTGATGCTTGCTGCAAGGAGGTAAATTGCTGGGAGCAGATTTTTTTTTTGTGCTAAGCAAGCAAGCTATGCTGAAAACGAAAATGAAAGTAAAGCAGGCTATTTGCTGTTTGCTGCAATGAGGCAAAATTGCTGGGAGGCAGAGGCAGATTTCTTTTTCTTGTTTTCCTCACCAAAAAAGGTAGGTGCATCTTATAGTCCGGAACGTATTATACTCCGAAAAATACGGTATGTTAAGTGCAACTATATATATTATTGTTTGTACCATTAATAGATTTATAGAAAAGTTTCCCATTAGTGTAGATATTGTAGATATAGCAAAAGAAAAACACAAAGTTGAGACAAACTGATTTTGATTTAATTTAAATTTTTTAAAAAATCAATGCAATTACTCACTCACTAGGTAAGCAGTATCCTTTTGTAATCTGTATCATAAATTAAAATTCAATTCTTAGCAATTCTTAGAGAAATCCTGGGGTTGTAACCAAGGCTTGGGTGAAGGGTGCTGCAGGTTCTGTGCTTCTGTATTAAGTGAATACATGGCTTTATAATAGTTAAATGTGGTTGTATATATCAGCTAATTACCTTTGAAATATCAATATGTGGTACAGGTAATCTACAACAGTTCATTCAGTGACTGTTCAAAGTTACAATCACACTGAAAAAAGTAACATGACCATTTTTTATACATGACCGTTGCAGCATCTCCGTGGTCATGTGATCAGAATTTGGGAGCTTGGCAATTGGTTCATGTTTATGACAGTTGCAGTGTCCTGGGATCATGTGACAATGGGGAAGCCAGATTCACTTAACAGCTGTGTTATTAACAACTGCAATGATTCACTTAACTGTGGCTAGAAAGATCACTTAACAAATGAGTCACTTAACAACAAATTTTGGGCTCATTTGAGGTCGTAAGTCGTGGACTACCTGTATTTAAAAAAATAATCATCTTTTCTTAAATATATCACCAAGTACATGTGCTTTCTGTATATACACATTACTAGAAGTAGTTCTGTCTGGCTATGTTATGAATGATAACAATAATGATAATGATAATTGAGTAGATATGAATAGAACTTGCATAGTTTCAGGTTTGAATATGTACAAAAAAAAATGAGTATTAGGAACATCTTAATTGTTGAAATTTTTGACATGAGATCAGGCTGTTAATATTTTACTTTTTTCCCTTCTAGGTCTATACTTGATTTTTGCATTTGAAAAACTTTAAAAGGAAAAAGAAAACAATGAAATACAGAGGATGTGAACAAGCATCCAAACTGACAGCTATTTTATATTTTTATGTTTAAGCGTGTGCAGGAAACAACCAAGATTAGGCATGCTTATATTTGAGTCATGGCTGCCTGTCTGTGACAGATGGATTTTTTGTTGTTGTTTGTATGTGGTGTATATACAGTATATGTGTTATGCCTTTTACTTTTTGTGTGGTATGGCTAGGTTCCTACTTTCAACGAAAGATGAGTTTTCTGGAATACTCAGGGTGTTTTCAGGTACAGAGTTGCCACATTGACTCCTTAAAGCTGTATCGTGACAGTTGTCACAGTACTGTATGAAGATCTGAGCATATGTAACTGCTGCCAACTAAAATGTTTAAGGAATAGTTTGGTAATTATATTGCTACAAATTATAGGACTACAAATTACATTGCCAAGGACTACAAGTTCACTTATTGTTACACTTCTTGCAAAATAAATTTCCAAGGGATTATCATTTGAGATCTGCTGCAAGATGCTGTTGGGTTGTATAAAGTTGTAGACTAGTAAATTTGTAAGCACTGAAATGTGAGTCTGGATCCAGTATTTGCTGCAATCAGTAGAAATGTTACCCTGTTTTGAAACCTGTACTAGTGGGCATTTTCTTTAGACAACCTTGTAAAGAGCTTACATGATTCAACAGCTCTTTTATGTGTACGAGTTCTGTGTGTGTTGGGATACCAGAACTTCATTATTAATGGCTTGGATTTTCTATTTCACAGTGGAGTATTTTCACTGTTAAATTAATTGTGGTTGGTATGTAGGATGGGTAATATTTGGAGAAATACTATTGTGCTGTTTGTATTCCTTAGATTGTAATTTCTTTTAAAATAGGTAATGAAAATTAAAAATATTTCTCTTCTTATCACTTACGTGTATCTGAGAAGTTGGAATTCCCAACTATATGGCTGTTCATACTGTATATATTCTTTGAAAAATTATGATACATAAGTAGCAAAAGTCATTGCCATGAGATTTTTTTTTTTTTTTTACAAATACTATATTTACACAGAATTGTCCTACAAATCATGATTTTTCTGAGCTGGATTTAATTGGATATACACTTTTAAATGAATAAAGGGTAGGTCAACACTACAGTGAATGTACACACTAAATAATGGTAGGGGCTTGCAGGAATGTGGGTTGTGTGGCCATGGTGTTCTGGATGAAATAGGCCAATTTTATAACATCCAAAATACTACATCCTGTTTTTGGTTTAGAGGTTTAACTTCTTGAAAACTCTGGGACAATGGCTTAGCTAAGTATGGTTTGGAGAATTGGAATCTTGGGAAGCTCATGGAATCATAGGTTTTGCACTTATCTACATGTTTACATATGTAAAAGCAGTTTGTGGCATATGTTTCCAATATGTAAGGGATATATAAAGAGATGAAACTTATTTTATTGAAATGAAAAGATTTCCCACTAAATTCTGCATATATAGATTTTTATTGTAACCGTAGCTTTAAATTGTAATCTTAAAAATGAGTTCACCACTCAGCTGCTACATGATACATTGATAGGAGATAACTCATGTGACTTAAACTGTGATACTTTAAATGAACAACTTCTGTCTTCATCTTAAATGAACAACTGCTCGATCACACAATTTACATGTTTGTTCTTGGTTCCTTTTTCATTCTCCATATTTTGCCAACTGGTCAGTTCTCATAATAAAGCTATTTACAGCTGGTGTAAAGGTGGATTATATTATGTGACTGAATGAAAATCTTGTAGAGATGCTTTGGAACAAGAAGGAACCTATACAAAACATATATTTGGGAAACTTCCTGGCTTTTTCCACATGCATGTGTAACTAGTTTTCTTCCCTGACAGAAATATTTTCTGTATTGTTGCCTAATTTCTTAAGCACCCAGTAACTTTTCTCTTGATAAGACCCTGTTCTAAATTTGCATATTCAAGATAAGAACCACTTCCTTGTCATTAATTAAAAGTAACCTAAGCAATAGTAATTAAAGATCAGTCACATTTTGTCCTCTTTCATATTTATTCTATCATTTGTCCAGATTTCATTGTATCTGTCTCCCAGACAAATGAAAATTTTTTGCCAGGATGTAATGTTAGTCATGAACCCTGTTTTGGACCCTAATGTTAGCAACTGATGTAGCAAGTGGAAGAATTCTTGCTTTTTTGTTTTGTTTTGTTCTAAAGAGAGGTATTGGGCATATTTCAAAATTGTACAATGATGAAAGCCTTGAAGGGGTATCTGATATTTGAGTGGGTTAATATCTTCTACCATTCCTATTATTTTACCTTTCTACCAAAAAAGAAAAAAAAATTGGCAGTTCACAAATCTTTTTTAAGAAAAATATCATAGTGTATTGGACCAAAACATGTATCTCAGATTATATGTTCAAATGATACAATATTCAATCTTTTCAAATACTGAATTGAAATTGAATTGGAGCTGTACCTAAAAATGAAATATTTGTAAACATCTATTTCACAATAACAGTGAAATTTATTATATGTATGAGTTCTTGGGCCTGCTGGATACTGATAGCAGTTTTCTCACCTTTCCTAAGAAGGAGAGGTAGAAGACTGAATGAAAATTGTCCAGATAGGTTGGATCCAATGATTTTTTTTTTATTGAAAAGTTTTACAAAAAAAGAAAAGTTTCCCCCCCCCAATATTCCCCCCACCCTTTTCCCTCCCCACATCCCCCCCCCAGACTTCACAGAGCAGAATACAGGGTATTTCAGTTAACAATCATAAGCTAATTCAACCTATCTATCCTTAGACTACAAAATCCCTCCCTGAAACCTTAATTCCACTATAGGTAACATAATACTAATACTTAACATTCATTCAAAAGCTATTTGATATTTTCTTGTCTGATACTTATTTTGAATATATTCAATCCATCTTCTCCATTCCAATACGTATCTTTCTTGTGTATAGTCCTTCAAATACGCTGAAATTTTCGCCATTTCTGCTAAATTCATTACTTTCAATGTCCACTCTTCAATAGTAGGCAGAGTCCTTCTTCCAGTATTGGGCTACCAACAGCCTAGCTGCTGATATTAAGTTCAAAATCAGTTTAGTCTCTAATACTGTACAATCCGTCGTTATACCCAATAAAAACAATTGAAGAGTAAATTTCAACCTTTTTTTCAGAATATTCTGCATCACCCACCAAATTTTTATCCAAAATGCCTTGATTTTCTTACAAGTCCACCATATATGATAATAAGTTGCATCCTCACATTCACATCTCCAACATTTAGCCTGCAAATTCGGGTACATACATGATAATTTTTTAGGATCTAAGTGCCATCTATAAAACATTTTATAAAACTTCTCTCAAATTCTGTGCTTGTGTAAATTTAACATTTCTAACCCAAGTCTTTTCCCATGTTTCCATCATCACTGGTTCCTGGAAATTTTGTGCCCATTTTATCATACAGTCCTTAATCAATTCCGTTTCTGAATCTATTTCCAGTAAAGCATTATACAACCTTTTAATATGCATCTGACTTTGATCTCTAATCTGTTTTACCAGGTTTTCCTCATTTTGCATGACACCAATTTTTTGATCTTCCCTCCATCTAGCTTGAAGCTGACCATACTGAAACCAAGTATAAATTATCCCTTCTTCTTTTAATACATCTAAAGATTTCAATTGCAGCTTACCCCTTTCCATAAAAAGAAGCTCTTTATAAGTAATCACCTCTATTTTTTGTTCTATACTTATATTTTCTATTGCATGTCTGGGATTTGCCCATATAGGTATCTTATAGTTTAGCTTATATTGATACTTTTTCCAAACCCTCAACAAAGCATTTCTAAGTATATGACCCTTAAACATTTTGTCCACTTTTTTTCATATAACAAATAAGCATGCCATCCATATAACAGATCATAACCTTCTATATTTAACATTCTCTCTTCAGTTAAATTAAACCAATCGCTAATTTGTGATAAAACAGCTGCTTCATAATACAATCTTAAATTAGGCATTTTAAGATCTCCTCTCTCGCGTACATCCTGTATAATTTTCAGTTTCACTCTTGGTTTCTTCCCGCCCCCCAAAAAAGTATTAACCCCTTTCTGCCACTCCCTCAAGTTTCCATCTTTCTTAAGCACTGATATCATTTGAAACAAAAATAAGAACCTAGGTAATACATTCATTTTTATTACTGCTATCCTTCCCAGCAGAGATAGTTGTAGCTTTTTCTATATTTTTTTGAAGAGAGGGCAGACCAATCCTTGATTGGTGGTGGGAACATCTCCTCCTGCATCAATGCATTAATCATTGCCTGAATCCACTGGCAGATCACTATCCTGGAAATTTTTACCAACCACAAGGGACAAGAATCTAATGTATTTGCATTGACAGCCCCAAAGATTCTGTTCACTTCCTCATGTTCAACAGAGTCAAACTGTTCCCAAATAATCGGGTAAGTTTATTTCCTGGGCATCTCTAATGGTCCTGTTCCATGTTTGGTCTCCTAGTGAGAACAGATCTGACTTATTTTATTCAAGTGTTTGACAAATTCTTCGGCATGAGCATATAAATGATCATCTTCCCTTGAGGAAGAACCAGGTGACCCTGAACAGGGTTGTTGGGTGACACTGCAGTAGCTGTGTTTTGACTTTTCGCTCTCATCTTCCTAATTCATGGGATTTCAGGAGCAATGGGCCAGGAGATAACAAGCACTGGGCAAATCTGGCAATTCTGGAAATGAGTATAAAGATTTATTGCAAGTTTAAGCCCTCTACAAGAATCTGAGCTACTAACGGTCAAGGGAAATGAGCGGGAATTAAAGCATTCAAGGTGGGCTGGATTTAGATCTCTTGTGGGACTCATTTATTTATTTATTTATTATTTCTATTTCTATACCGCCCTTCTCCTGAAGGACTCAGGGCGGTGTACAGCCTATTTAAAAACACAAAAACAAAAACAGCAGTTAAAATTTAAAATCATTAAATAATTAGGCTCCAATTAAAATCCCAGGAATTTAAAAATACCCCAATTTAAAACGTTATGTTAATAGCCCGGCCTGGCGGAACAACAGGGTCTTCAGAGCGCAGCGAAACACCCGGAGGTCGGAGATCTTACGTATTTCCGGGGGCAGTTCATTCCACAGGGCTGGGGCTCCCACAGAGAAGGCCCTCCCCCTGGGTGTCGCCAGCCGACATAACTTGGCCGATGGCACCCTGAGGAGACCCTCTCTGTGGGAGCGGACTGGTCGGTGGGAGGCTATTGGTGGCAGAAGTCGGTCTCGAAGGTACCTGGGTCCTATGCCATGGAGCGCTTTAAAGGTGGTAACCAACACCTTGAATCGCACCCGGAAGACCACTGGGAGCCAGTGCAGCTCGCGCAGGAGGGGTGTCACGTGGGCGCAACGAGTTGCACCCATAACCACCCGCGCGGCCGCATTCTGGACCAGTTGGAGCCTCCGAATGCTCTTCAAGGGGAGCCCCATGTAGAGAGCATTACAGTAGTCCAACCGGGAGGTGACAAGGGCATGAGTGACCGTGCGCAAGGCGTCCTGATCCAGAAAGGGCTGCAACTGGCGAATCAGGCGAACCTGATAAAAGGCCCCCCTGGCCACGGCCGTCATGTGCTCTTCTAAAGACAGCCGTGCGTCCAGGACTCATGACTTACGAGGCATTTGCCTGTCCCTCAGCCTAGTCATCTACAGGAGAGGGTGCGTAGATGTGATCCTGCTTAAGGCCTCAGCTGCTTTTTGATTCATGGTTGTAACTAAAGCTTCCACGGGTCCATGCAGTGGAGCCTCCAGGATATCCCCAGCTCTTGGAAGTCACAAAAGTCCATCAGTTCCTGAGGGAGGACCATTTGAATAGATCCTGCCTCCCTGCAGAAGGGGGCAGCAAATCTCAAGGCCACCAGGGCATGGTCTGACCATGACAGAGCTGATAATGACAGATCCCTGACCAGGTCACATTGTTGCTGCTTCAATAAGATACCCAGAGTGTGACTGCTGTCATGAATTGGGCCATAGATAATTTGCATAGGCCCATGGCTGCCACGGTGGCTCTGAACTCCTAAAGCTGCTTCCAAGGCTGATCCTCCAGGGATGGCAGATTAAAATCTCTCAAAACCATAAACCTGGGCAACTCCAGTGCCAATCCTGAGATGGCCTCCAGCAGCTCAGGCAAGATGGTTGCTGTGCAGCAGGAAGGTGGCACAACAGTAACACTGTCAACTGATCCCTTGAACCCCGCTTCAGGAACTAGTACTTAGTAGAATGGACACTAGCATTTCAGCCTTGTTCCTATGCAAAAAGACAAAGGATAAAATCATACAAGCACATTATATTCCAGTTCTTTTTTTATTCCAGTGCTGGATTTCTTGGCAATTACTATTTTTTAAAAAAGTAAAATTGACGTACTCAAAGCTATTCTAACATGCTGCCACCTCATGCTTAGCAGCAGATGTATATAGTTTTCATCCTTAACAGAGTTTTAGAGATAGACAGAAGGCATGTAGGGAATAAAAAGACCAGATGTTCAGTATGAGTCTCTATTGTGCCACAGATAAAAAGCAGAGTCTAAATCTATTGCATATTTTCCATGACAAAATTAATGAAATAAGTAGATGTGAGATATATTTTATGGCATGTTCCATGGGCTACTTTATTCTTCTTTAGATATCAACTTTAGTAGAATTCAATGTGAAATGATGGAGAATTTCTAACTACAAAAATTTCT